TATACAGCGAGCTAAAAGGATTTATACAAAAAAGTATCTTTTAGACAGGTCTCTATAAAAATCTGTAAAATGAAGCGTTTAATGTGAAATACTGTTATATTGTAGGATTGTTTGGATTGATCTAAAAAGAACACGGGCTAACCGGTTTTTAAAGAAACCTTGCAGTTAGATCAATTACAAAAACGAGTCGTAAAATTCCATTATCAAAATAAACATCCCTCAAAATCAAGCCCGATCAATGGATGTAACGTGTGTATAACCCCAATTTAAAAAATGTTTGATCCGATTCAAGAATGATTTGATCTTTCTGATACCTCTTTCAAATGATCCTTTGTATGTATATTCTGTTATTATTATTTGTATAATTAATTCAAACCAGTATTACATGTGATAGTAAATGCAGTGCTAAAAGTAGTGTATTATTCAATACTAAGACAACTGTTTGTTTGAATGCGGATCTCATAATTATGAGATATATCAATTTTCTATTCACGTGCACACACTTGTGAGTTACCAAATCGTATTGCTTTCGCTTGAGGTGTGTGAAGAATAGTTATAATGGCAGACGGAGATTAAATGTAAATGTTTATCAGTCTTATGGTTGCTTCTTTTCTATAATTGTGTATTACTACTCTCTACTAGTTTCGCGTATAAATAGTACTGTGATGCATTGGAATTCTCAAATACTTGAATGGTTGAAAGTAAAAAATAGAATAGAATTAATGTATATTTAAAGCAAGTTAATTAATCACTTTTGAATAATAATTGTTTATTCTACACACCCACGGAGGAAATTAACGTCGTGACGTAGTTACCATTACAATATTAATCATTACAATTTAGAATTAATGTGCTATTCAAATATTTCATTCATATATTTGTAGATTACTATTCAATTTCCATTTTAATTGCTTGCTCCATAATAAGAACAAAATAAAATTATAATTCGGTGACGTTAACCAAACTCGTAGATTTAGCAAACAACTTCGATATTTATACATGTTTAACAGAAAGCGGAACTTACCAATAAGCGTCCTACGTTCTATAATACTACTGATGCAATAAGACCTTCTAAATCAGTTATACACATACATATATCAAACATCTAATGACAAAAATGTACCAATCGAATTCTTTCGGCCTCTATATAAAAACTAGGTCACTATGAATATTAACAATTAGCGACATTCTATTATTATTAAAAACTCATTAGACAAAATACACCAATAAGTAATAGGGTTTTTTCAAAAGGCCAAATCATTGCCGATTAATTCATCAATGGCATTCTTAATTTTTCTTCGTTCCGCATTTTACCTTTTTCATTGTTTTCGTTAAAGACACGCAGGAAAAGCGACCAGGAAAAAACGTAAACAAATGGATCACCAAACGTAAACGAGCGTAGATAATAAAGCGGGCGATTCCAATGGGTTTTTTTTTGAACCAAAATAGTTGCTAATGCTAGTCATGAGGAAATCGCACTCGTTTCAGTTATTAGACACAATGCGGCCAAGATGTTTTGTTTATCGGTTACCAGATGTAAAAACATCTTGAAAATAAAGCGAAGATAGAGCGAGTATGCTCGTATAATGTGTGATTTTCTTTACAATTTCAAGCCCGTGATTTTGTTTACGGTAAATGTGCTAACGGGTCAATGGTTGTAGCACTAGTCTAATGCTGCATATAATATTTATTTACTCTTGTGGTTATACTGTGCAGAATTATTTTACTGTACCGAATTAGTCTTAAGTGGCAGAACGATATTTATATTATTTTTTCGTACCGTTAACATTAAAGGATTGCCTTATACGACTTCAGAAATTATTATTTTTCAAGAAGTCCTATGAGTTAAAGCCAGTAAGAACGTTTGCTTAATTGTATTCAGGTAAAGCTCGTCATCATTTGCCGTTTTCGTTACTACTGTAGATCGAGATGTAATGCATGTTAATCTTGGACAAAGTATATTGTATATGTGTATTTTAGATTATTACAATTTTGTATCTGCATAATGAAATCATATTTCAGTTAATAAGATCCATTAATGCTTTTTCGTCACCACATAAATACGTAAAATTTTAGGTAAACGTAATATCATTCAGAAATATAAACTTATTTCACAACTAGTTATTACTCAGGATTAAATGCGTGAAATCTCAAATACCACGTCGATGTTAAATTCATGACGATTTACTCGAGTTGTAACACAAAGCAAGAGGAAAACAGTCACTCGTATCAATCATATTCGAAAATCCGGGGTGAAAGTCGAATGATATGAGATTAGCAGTGGCCATTTTTTTATTAGATTTGTCTAATCCAAAAACTATTTCGGTAGTTTTGTGAGATCTCAATGCATGCAGTTTAATGTGGTGGTATGCGGTGCAGTATTTAACAAATGTAAACCTTAATTAGCCGTGTTTATGGCTAAGTTTGCAATAACAGGTTATATAGAGTGCCTGGTTTTATAAATAATCTTATTATCTTTATCTCTATTAGCTAGAATCACTGACAGATACGAGAAATTCAAAATACAACTAAGAGCAACACTTATTATTTTCATTTTAATAAATAAACTCAAAAATAATAACTGATTTAAAAAATATTTCTATATTATTATTTCTATTCTACTATAGAACTTTTTTTTCTTCAAAATAAAACACTATCAAATATACTCCCTTATAATGGGATTATATTTGATAGTGTTTTATTTTGAAAAAAAAAAAAAGTTATCTATGTACGTTGCAGGCGTACAAAGCCGGGACGAGTTGCTAGTCTAAATTAAATTTGTTTTCGTTCACCATTGCACCGGCGCGGACGAGTGGATGGTGTTTTGCGCGCACCATATTTTTTAGAAAGTCACATCCGGCTGCGCTGTTGGTAGGTGTAGTGGGCGGGGCCTTTCCGTGCCTTGCGCCCGGATGTACGCTCCCATCATCATAGCCATAAACCTACTGACTTATCTATTGCACGATTGAGGTCAATGCTGAAATGTCATACTCTTAATTTTTAATCATATATCAAATTCACTATTTCAACAATGTTTAAAATCCAATATTTTCCCGTATCTCTGAAATGTTATTGATTGTATGAGTGTTTTAAATATGTCTATTAATCCACTAATATTTAAAATACGTACGGTGTTTTCTAGTGCTTTAACGAGTTTCATTAATTCTTTTTGTCCTTTTGTAGGTATTAAGGCAAATAAAATTCAGAAAACGATAAATGATGTGTTTTCTCGGCAATAGGAATATTGTTGTTTTTCATGATACCTACTACGATTTGCTTATGGTTTAATTAAACAACGCGGTAAAACAACATTTTTAAAAAGGTAAATTATGTAATCTTTCGATTTCTTTTATATATTTTTTTATAACTTTATAAGAAGTGGATGAGCGGAACCACTAACGTTCTTCTAACCTTCCTCGTGCTTGTGAATATTTATATATTATAATCATATATTATAATGGAAATATTTAAAAACAACAAAAATAAATTTTAACATAAGTTCATCAATTAGATTTTTACTACTTTTAATTTAACTTTTCTGGTACGTAGCAACTTGGAACTTTGAATGTAATAACATACCCAGATTAGTCGTTCTCTCCTTACACGGTAGGCGGATATGAACTATGACTAGGCAATATTTAGATTGAAACATACGACATCAGAAATAAAAATATGTCTACAAAAACTATCAACCGATTTAATATGCTGTTAGGCAAAGGCTGTTTTAGTTAGAGTGACCACGATATGGGAAATACGGTTTAATGATCATTTAAGTGTAAGTTGTATCCAAATACTAAGATATCCAAATATCTTAAATATACAATTCTCGTGACACAATGTTAGTTATCATACTCCTCCGAAACGGCTTTATCGATATTTATGAAATTTTATATTCATATTATTTTCTATTTTTCATATCTCTAAGTAAGGTTGTCCACCCCTAACATTTATTTTTTTATTTTGTCAAATTTGCTTCATTTATCCTTAAAAAATACATACAACCCCAAATTTTCACCCTTCTAGCACAAACCCCTATTTTCTAATAGCGATATTTATTTATATAGCAAATCAACTTTGCTGTGCCAGCTAGTAATATTATAAGCCCTTGAGGTTTTGCCAAGGGTAAAAAAAAATAGATATATGTGTATAAACGGCCATCCATCCAGGAGGTGGATCGAGGGCTTGTTTGCTTAAAGCTGTGGTTTTGTATACAGGTCGTTAATAGTAACTTTCGGACGTAAAATTGCAAATAGTCTTGTCAAAATTAGTGAAATAATGAATTACAACCGGTATGCTCTAAAGTTGCGCACACGCTAAAGGTCAATGATCATCTGTAGATCCGCTTCGGCGCCCTGATGACCCTGTCCTCAGGCGGCGCTGTTTGTGTGAAACGTCAAATATATTATTAATCAATATACATCGTTTAAGCAAATTTTAAAAATGTTTATGTCAACTCATTAAGATGTTATTGTACGTATTGGTTACATCTCTATAGCGTACGTTTTACTACGATTCTATGTACGATGTAATACGCGGGACGTTGCTGTATCAATGAGAAGATAGATATAAGAACTAAAATATATTAGGATTCTTGAAATTATTATTATAGTATTTCTATTATACTAAACAGCAATGCTGTTTGGTACATTGTATTCACATAAAAACTTGAATGTAATGTCAACATTTGTTTAAAAGAGCAAAGGCAAGTCTTTTGGTCATTGTTTTGACTGAGTATGCATTCAAAATGGACGGTAGAACTGTTAAAAATATATAGCACTTACATAATGGTTACCTTTTAACTGTAAAGCAGCTTGCTTTTAAGTTATGTTTTCATTAAAGGTCGAAATAAGGCAATGAAAATAAGGATGAGAGGCATGATATGGTCCTTCAATAATTCTGGAGAAACGCATTACGTTGTCTGTATATAGATGATTACCACCTAGCATCTATTTCCGAACTATAAAGAAAAAAAATATTCAATAAAATATTTTTTTTTGTAGAAATATGTGGAATCATCGCTGGGATGGGCGGGCGAACGCGGCGAAGACTCGAGTTACGACTCTGAGTGTGAGGAGGAGGGCGCTCACAGAGCCGCCTCTCGCACACCGTCGGACACGCTCGCAGCGGAGTTTGCTGAATATGTCACCCTGACGCCTGCATCCCCGCAACCTAATCAGGTAAATGTCCATCAAGTTGTTTGTCTTTAATTTTTTTTTCCCTTAGCCGCAGCTGGGTTTACTGCTTCACCAGACGGTAGGTCCAGATGTGCAGATGGCACTCCAAACCGGCGGAAGGACTTATGGAGTGCCTGAAGGCTAACTCCCGCCTGACGGATATGACTTCAGTCAATTTATTGTCAATATTTATATACGAGAAGCTTGCGGGTTAACTATACGCAAAAGGTACTCAGATTGTATAAAAACAATGTTTTCAAAATGTTGTTCCGTTTGTCGTGCTTCTGTAGTGCCAGTACCCAGTACCCAGTATGTTTGAATTAGGATCTACTGATGACCTGTATGCTATCAGACTCAATCGAATAGCCCCTATTGCACAAACTGCGCAGCAGTAACAGAATTCCCAAAATGTGTATGCTATCAGACTCAATCGAATAGCCTCTATTGCACAAACTGCGCAGCAGTAACAGAATTCCCAAAATGCTGTGCACTAAATTGGCTAGTTATTCAACATTTTAATAACATTATTTTTTTTTTATAAATGTAATAATAATAATATCCCTAGACAACTCACACAGCACCATCTTGTCCTAAACTAAGGGGCGTTTGTGTTATAGCTACTAGACAATTAATAGATATACTTAGATACATTTCTTGTAAATACATACATAATGTATAGAGAAAACACCCAGACCCAATAATAATGAATACAAACGTTTCTACCGACCATCGGAAGTAAAGCACTATGCTAAACTATTAGACTACCGAGGCCGTCAAATGGCTCTATAATATTTTTGCCGGATTTAGTATAGGAGCGTGTTCGCCTTAATTAGGTTATATTTTTTTGTTTGTTACTCTAAGACTACGTCATTTGCAATTCTTTATTTATCTTATAACATATAAAGTTCAAACTGTTACAATATCGAAACAAAGTTGTGACGTTAACGGCTGTAGCCGCATCCAATTGTGACCTTTGCTTCTTCCAGTATTTGTACATAAGGAAAAATGTCGACTAATGACTGACATGTCAGTATGTGATACAAAGATAGCTGTCTATTTCACATTTTAAACGCAGTTTTTTTTTGGTTGACATTTTCAAACAAAATACTTTAATCTTAAATTATCATATCTATAGCCAGAATAATTGAAGTTAATAAAATAAAAACAAACTAACTGTCTACAAACAACCATACATATATACACACTCATTTCTCAACACTATTCTTTCCAAATTTAAAGTTTTTTCTTATTTTTATTTAGTTAAATAATAATAAAGAAACCATGTTTCCGGTTTCTTTCATTTTTCAATTGTCAATTAAACGAGGTATATGTACAATACACCAACTGTCACTGACCAGTTTCTACAATAAGGGATATTATGTAAGATATTGAAAAAAATATAAATTGTCAATATGATTTGATTTCAATTTATTGCAGGCGAAGATTGAATTCGCAGTGAAGTTGGGTTACTCAGAATGGCAGGCTAAGACGGCATTGCAACGATTGGGCCCCGATCCCCCTCGCAATGAGTTACTAGCAGAGTTGATAAAATTAGCAGCCAAGCAGCCGGCTCGGACGCTGTCCCCGCCGCCTCCGACGGATCCCGATCCTCAACCTAACCGTGAACCACTCAGGCAAATCGTCATTGATGGCAGTAATGTCGCTATGAGGTAATCTATCATTGTCAATCTTTTACAGTTTACTTTTACTTTACTTTTTTTAAATACTTGCAATTTCACTACTTTTGTAAGTTAGGTTAAGTTGTTTTCATTTTATACTTGCCCTAAGAGGCTTTGATCCAGCCACTCGGGGGTTGTTGCCCCCGGTGTCGATGCCGGGGCAAACTGGTTCGTCCCGAGGCACTTGGTGTCCGGCGAATAGCCAGTCAGAAAATCTTAAGACTGCGTGATATCTCTGTCTCACGTATTTTAGTAGCTAAGTTTAGTTTATTATGTAGAGTGGTATTCTAAAGGTCCTGAAATTTCTATTGGTTGTATAAAAAAAGGCAGTGAAATTATAGGATACGGAGGCACGGCATCATAGTTCTCCGAAATAGCAACGCAGTGGTACCACGGGTGTCTTATATTATATAATATTTATAGTGCTGTTCATATATATATATATAGGCTACGGTAACCACTTACCATCGGGTGGGCTTCAGATTGATTGTCATTCCATTCAAATAAAAAAGTATGTTTTGGTAAAATTAAACAAACAGATACAGATAGACATATGGCTGTATTACATCTGAGCAATATAGTTTGTCTAAATATCTAAATTATGCCCATCCTAAGGTCTATTTTTATTAAATCCTCTAATAATTATATAATACCCATTGCTCAAATATAATGGTAATATTTTTTTAGCCATGGCAACAAGGAGGTATTTTCATCCCGTGGAATCGAAATATGCGTCGACTGGTTTCGCGCTCGTGGCCACAAAGACATCATAGTATTTGTGCCCAAATGGCGCAAAGAATCATCGCGGCCTGACAACCCGGTTGCGGACCGCGACGCATTGGAGCGACTCGAACGCGACCGTGTCCTCATCTACACGCCCAGTCGACTGGTCGGCGGCAAGCGGCTCGTGTGCTACGACGACAGGTATATACTACGACTTGCGGCAGAAACCGATGGCATCGTTGTCTCCAATGATAACTATCGGGATCTAGCAACGGAGAACCCAGACTTTCGCAAAGTCGTCGAGGAGCGACTGCTTATGTATTCGTTCGTCAATGATCGATTCATGCCACCTGACGATCCACTGGGGAGATCAGGTCCTACCCTCGATGCATTCCTTCGTGCGCCTCCATCACGTGCCGACCCACCACCGGCCTGCCCATACGGTCGAAAGTGCACATACGGAAACAAATGTAAGTTCCACCACCCCGAACGCGCTGGGCGACCGCATAAATCTGTTGCCGAGAAATTATCTGAAAGAGCCCGTGCATTGCGTGCGCGCGACTTACACACGCTCAGCTTACCTCCGGATGGCCGGCCCGTCGATACAAAACGACCACTGGCAAGGGCCCACTCTGCAACACCGCGTTTAGCGGACGCTGCACTTGCGACGCATTTCGAACGTGCACAAATGCAACTCGCTGGGCCGTCCCAACCACTAATACCACAGCCAATGTCGCCACCAGACACGAATACACATCGTAAATTAGCTCGTCAACTCACACTTAATCCAGCATGCGATCCGCGGCTCACTCATGCGGCAGCTTCTAGAGTTGCGTCTGCGCCAGTGGGAGCGGTAGGCGCCGCTGGTGCGCATCTGTCCCCTTGTGCCTCAGAAGGAGCATTACAACATTGGGATGCGAGACGGCGTATGCATTTCCATCTCGCAGGCATATTCCCTGAGATCCAAGTGGCGGAAGCGATGGCGGCGTACCCAGAAGAAACGGACGCGCAAACGATGTGCGCAATCATTTTAGCGCGATACAGACCAAGCGAAGCTCAGTTGCCACGCCCGCCGCTGCACTGATCTCAGTATTTGTATCTCACAAATATGTTGCTGTGTCGCATAAAATAATAAGAATCTGTTCATGTTTGGATTATTGTCGATTTTTGCGAAAAAATTGATTTCATACATCCGAGCTTAACAATGCTAGGTTGGGTGTTTCGACTGAGTAAACCATACGCATGACTATTCAGACAGAAAATTATAACAAATGTATAAAAACTGACTGTGCCAAACATGCCGATCGGTTTTGTGGTCGTGTTAATAATGAATAGGCATTTATACATGTAAATTGTATATTTTCAATTGTTTACGTCACACACTTCTAAGAAGTGGATGGCTATATTTAACGAAGATAAATTAAGTTTAGACATTAAGGATGTACAAAATGTATTTCATTGTGTATTTTTATTAACTATTCTATTGACTATTGTATTAACAATATATAGTATAAGAATATAACATTTTCCTGGGTTCCTTGTCCCTGTTACTGTTACGTACTGATCCCATCCAGTGAATCCTCTAATAGACTCCACTTGTTCACAAATAAAAATTTATTACATATAATATAAAATATAATTATTAGGTTAAATTTTCCTATTAAATTTATTGTTACTTTGTATGAATTATTTTGGTACCATGTACCAAGATTTCATAATTATTGAAAAATATTACTTATGTTAAATGTTTTATTTATTTATGTGTATTGAAGTTATGGCCATATTTGAAAATAAACATTTAGTAATTTATATCTTGTAACGTATTTAATATAATTTCTTATACATTTTGACTAACTTGTTTACTAAATATTTGGGACAGGTACAGAAATAATGAAATGACACAAAATCGTATAATCGTATATCTTGTAGCAGTTTTCACTAAACAAAATCATATACTGGAAATATTTATGATATAAAAATAGATTTTATAATAATAGGCTCAATTTGGGGTACACTTCTGAATCGTTGGTTGGAGCAGGCTTCTATACTAGCTGCAAATACTCTTCATTGAAATGCGAACTAACAATTATCCGCGACTGCCTCAGTGGTCTAGCGCGTTGGCATACCGCTTTACCTCTGATGGTCTTGGGTTCGAGTTCTCGCATGGTACAAACATATATTTATGAGTATAAATGTTTGTATAGGTCTGGGAGTTTTCTATGTATATTATGACTGCATGTATTTACAAAGTGTGTCTATTTTTATCAGTTGTCTAGTTTTCATAACACAAGCTCTTCTTATCTTGGGTCTACACGGTGCTGTATGAATTGCCCAGGGTTATTATTATGTTGAGTCACCAGCTCTTATCACTTACCTCAAATTGTATATTACCACTGAGTTATCTGCTGATGGTTGGAGATTATGGTATATTTATATATTATTATATAACTGGGTCATTCCTATTTAGTATGAATTAGTTATAAACAATGGCCAGACTTATTATGAATTAATAGTCATTATTGTTATAGTTGTAACAATGAATACAATTATTGTTTGATTTGTATTAAATTGAACTGTTTAAAACCTTAAATGCAATGCATCGATTGAAAACGTAAGATAAATATATCTACTAGTATGCTTTACTCCATAACAGTAGTGTATAACCTTGTATAGATGTTTATGGAGTATTGCATTAATAATTTAGAATAATTTTATTAAATCAAATTTGTTAATGTTGTAGGAAAACATTGTAAACTTGGTGTCACTTGTTCAGAAGTGTTGAAGAATAAGTAACAATTATGTTATAAACAATTTGTTATTCCAAATACATTTTTGTTCATTATCAATGCACATTCCTTAAGGAATGCTTATTATAATACATGTCTTTTTTGACATTATAGTTATGTCTTATAAAATATAATAAAATACTTTTCTCTTTGAAAATGTTTTATTTTTATCATAGCACAGATTATATGGAGTGAAGATCGATTCCCCAAAGTAGGTTGTAATAAAAAACCATTTCTTGTATAATGCAATGCAATTTATGTGTTGTGTTCGTCTCTTTGTTATTGTACAAGAATATATTACTCAGAAAATTATATATAAAACCAAGCTTTACCTTTTGCCAAATTTTACCTTAGCCGAGACATTTTCAAATATACTTATCATTCAATTTCCCACTTATTAGATTACTTTTGTAAAATTGGGTATATAGTACAATTATTTCCCTTTAATTCTGTTAGGATTGCTTGCTATTCTCTTTAATATCATTTTCATATACTTCTTACTTTCAGTATTATTCTCTGATTTTTTAGACACTTCAATAAAGTCCTGTCCAATAAATTCTTTCTTTACTTTGGTTACTATTTCATTAGATGGAATGAACACTCTTGATTTTTTATTAGTTCTATACAAATATGGGCAACTAACAGTGCTTTTTGTATTTTCATTAACTCTACTAGTGATGTCTTCATTACTAGTCATGTCTATCATATCTACTTCATTGTCATCTAATGATATATTTTCTTTAAATTTGTAGCATTTCGCTATTTCCAATATTTCATTAGTGAGATTGGGCAAAACATTTTTTCTAATACCTAAAGAACTTGTGGGTATACCAAAACATTCTGCACTAATCTTCCTAAGCTCTGACAGACATATGACTGGTGTTTTTGATGTGCAGCAGGTGTCAAGAATTGGTTGTATTATTATTCTAGGGTTAACCTCTGCTTCTAAAATGACCGCAGAGCATTCACCGGATTGAATAGCATTACAGCATGCCGATATGCCAAATAGTAAGCCATCAACTTTTCTGAAAATAAAAATTGTGATCCATAAAAAATACATTAATTTACAACTGTGTAGTTGTATATGTGTGTGTGTGTTGTGTGTTATGTTGTATATATGTGTATATAATAATTAAATTAATATGTTAATAAATATAGCAATTTATTAAGTAGGTATATTTTAATAATAATAATATTTATTCATGATACACATTTACATTTTAATTTACTGTAGTTCTACACTAGGCTCGCAGGCCTGTATTGTAGAGACTGGAGTGACTTATTATTGTGTACATTTTACATGTTTACCCTTTGTATTAATATCTATGGGACTTGTGTGTAAAATGTAGGTAATAAATTTGTGGATGTGTATTTTATATATCAATATGTTAGTTAAAAGGATATACTTACAATTTAACCAACATATTAATACTGTCTAAACTACACATAAACAACTAACAAAAACTACATATCTAGAAGTACTTTTTCTTTCAAATTTCTTATGACCTTATAATAACCAGTAATATTGGGCTTACAGATTTTTTTAAATTATTAACATTACTATAATATTTTAAGTGATATTGTACATATATAAAAGTACATCCCTTCAAGAGTCAGAAAATCATATCAGTTATTCACAGATTACAATCATAAACTAACAGTATCATAATTTACAGTACTGTATTGTAGATATCCTTAAAATTATTAAAACCACTTACTTAATTTTGGGTTGTTTTGGTCTTTTCTCTTTAGGAATTAATTTTAGCTCGTTCCAATGTGGTTTCTTGAATTTTGATATAGATATTCTGTTCTTCAATAAGGCTTTATTTACTAAATTCTTATGTACATCTGTAACAATGGGCCTAAAAAATAAAAGGTAATATTGTGTAGAGAGGTATATATTATTAATAATACATAATTACTAAATATTGATTTGTATAAAGATTTTCAAGAATTTTATGTTCATGTCACGAAAAAACCTACCAGAATACTGGATCAGGTCTACACAAAACATTTTTAATGGTTTTCTTTAATTTGCCCTTATTTAATTTCTTTTTCTGTGGTAATGTTGCAGCTTCCATTACTATTTATATAAAGTATTTGTTACCTACAAACATGAAAATAAGGTAGAGATTACTAGTGAGTACGATTGGAGTTCTAAATAATACTAATTATTATATTATTTAGAATATCTTATAATACCACTAATAATACTGATAATAGTATTATAATACGTGTGATAATTTTATAGCGTTATTTATTTCAGAAATACAAACGAAAATTATCAACTTGAGAAACCAACGACTGTCTTCGTTAAAACGTATGTAGAATAAAAATGAATCAGGTTTATAACACAGAGGACATAGAATAATGATGCTAGTAGAACATTATCCATTTGGATACCTATATTTATTTATTTTAATTAAATTAATAAAAAAATATAGGTTATTAAAAATATCCTAAGAATATTAAGACTAGTCCTCTGTCATTAGCCATGTCAATCTCAAAATTGTCAGTCAAGTATTGTCAATCCGTGGACTATATTTTTTTTTTTTATTTTCGTATGTGACCAGTAACAGGTAACAGACTGTAAAGTTATTACAACCAAACTTTATTAAAGCAGCTGAAGCATATTATTTTGATCAAACAAATATTTCAGTTTTCCTCCGATTCAAGCCACTTTTGAATTTATATTGTAGCCTAATGGATTTTTTCTTATTCAAGTTGTATTTAAAAAATACAATAATAACATTTTTATTACAATAATCTTTAAAATTCATAAAGAATTGATAAATAAAACAGATCACGAAAGGGTTTTAAAAACTCATTACAAGAATTTATATCGATGGTTTAATTAAAGGAAACAGCGGGAGATGGTCGATGTCATATCCCAATCATCTCAATAGCCTCAAACTTATTAAAAAATTGATTTTCAATGTCGATTTAAAATGTAAGAGTAATAACCAATAATAGCCATAGCATATATTTGACCGTATTATTAAACACTGTCTATTCCGGGACGTTATATAAGTAGACATATCCATGCAATGTACAAATGGATATTTTTAGAAAATAGGAACATGTGTTTACTTATATTTTCCGACTGAGTCTCCAGTGATGGAAGCACTGTTAACAGCGGACAAATTCTTTGCCTACCCCATCTGGTATTACAATTGTGAAGTTACGTCATTACTGAAATTTAGTCAGTAGGTACCTACCTAATATTTACTATTATATTATTATTAAAAAAAAACCGAATGAGTATAGATGTACATAAACTATGTCTATTATATATTATAAGTATATAGTTAACCCAAAACTGTATTTTTGTCAATGTCTTTGCGTTGAAACGCGAGCATTTCGGCGCCTGACAAAGGAAGTAGGTAACATCATTGTTTAGGAAGTTGCAAAAAAGGATGCGTTTTTTGTTGCCCAGGCCGTTGGCGAATAGCTCATTGTTCAAGCAAGAGAGTGGGGCGGGGAATGTAATAACTGCAGTTAGGGTGCAATGAAACTTTTACCTGAGTGTACCCCAATCGTGTACCAAATGTTTAACAGTGCACTGCTGACTTTACAACTATTATTTTCTGAGTAATGTCGCGTATATTAGAGAAATGGTTGTTGGTGCAGTGGAATAATGATGGTGATAGAGACATTGTGAATGTGAGGTGTCTGGTGAATTCAAATGAGGACTTGCGGACTGGATGCCCGGTAAATCTGGTCATTAAAGGAGAGAAGAAGTCTGGAACGCTTATTGCTAGATGTAGTGAGTATATGGCGTTTATGGTTTTTTTATTTAATAGGCTAGTGATCTATCTCTGGTTTACAAGTCTGTATAGTGTGATGAAGTTCTTATAGCTATGAACTCCGTCATATTATGCATATATTATAGCTACCTACTTGTAAATGTATTTATCTATATACCTCTGTATACACACTCGTATCAAAATACGTCGTCTGTTTTAGAAGTAAGTCAAGAAACATCAAGAAAATATGTAGCAACTTTGCTTTATACAATTATTATATAGGTAATCAACATAGTAGGTAGTAGGAACTGCTTGTGGTATGAACATTACGTGCAAGTAGGTACCTATAGTTGCATGTACCTACAGGGATCATATGTAAGTAAGTAGGTACTAACATATGAACACTTTTGTATTTTGTCAATGTGTAGTGTATACAGATAAATGGTACAAATCTTAATATTAATATTATAAACGTGAATGTTTGTTACTCTTTCACATAAAAACTACCCAACGGATTTTGATGAAACATTACACTAATATAGTTCATACAGCAGAATAACACATAGGCTATAAATTTCATACGGAAACCGCGGACACAGCTAGTATGTATCTCAATATGTGTGATAAAATATCATCGATGATATTTTATGTATATTCACCTTAATTACATTTTACCTAGGTACCTTATTTTTCAAAGGATTAGCCTTAAAAACAATAATATTATTTTTAATAATCAGTCTAGTTTCAGGATATGGTCGAATTCCATTACTCACTATCTATTACAAATTATCAATATAATATACACGTAAGTTCTACCGGCCTTAGCGCCTAAACCTATTGTCACAGATTAAAATCTTTGTATTATATATAGCACTTTATTATTAAACACCATATTATAAGTAATAATAGATAATTCCTTGATCACTTATCTACCAAGTCCGCCTCGTATTTGGTACTATTTTTAGCGTTGTCATCCGCGTGGTATTTTATATAGGTAAACACTAGCTGTTTCCGCTACTTCGCCGATAGTGACTTTGGGCAGCATTTTAAATTATTTAGGCGAAGTCCTTTCATTCTCTTACAAAACTTTTCGCATTAAAAAGGAGCCTATGTCCTTTCTCAGGCTGTAGACTATCTTTATACCAAATTTAATTTGAATCGGTCGAGTAATTGCCTAAATTACTCGACCGATTCAAATTAAATTTGGAAGGGTAAAGTTACTTTCTATATAATGTAATTTTTGTATTATATATACTAACATAATATTTGTTTTATTGACAATGCTTCTAACTACCCCATATGTGATAATAGTGGTGACGATGATGTTGTTATGTGTAATAATATTTTAATTATTGTATATATGTTTTCTTTCTTTCGATGAAACTAAATATAATTCGAAATTAAATGACAAACCCGTACAATACCTAACCTGTAATGAATATATATATATATACATATATATATACAATAAAAAAAATACAAAACCATGTAATATCTGCACTTACATCAAATTCAATAATAAAAAGAATATATTTCGACAGCCGACTTCTAAAATAAGGACATTATTAGTTATGGTTTTGATTATTATGCTGTATTTTCACCAAATAACTGTACATATTTTTTTTATTATTAATTTGTATCAGTAGGTAGACGAATAATAACCTTTATTTACACCATATTGTTTTGCTCCATAAAACAGATGAACGTCGTTTACTTGAGCAAATGGTGTCAAAAAAGATGCCCGAAGACGGGGACAGTGCAAAAAATGAACAGACCAAGAAAGATCCTAGTGACTTCTCATCTAGTGGATCATCATGGGAACCCAGCGATGTCGAAAATTCGGATTCTGACGAGGTATTTTGTATGGGCGCTTTTATTGCTAAATTATGACTGTAAACAATGTAGTAATTATGTATCACAGCTATGAATAGTTCTGAAGTCGTCTGGCGCGGAATTTAATAAGTTGCTTCAAAATAGGATCGTAATAAGGTTAAACGTAATGTTTTTGACAAGATAACTTGTTAAAAGTCGCTTGCCTGAGTACCTCCGTCTCACCTATTTCGGCCGCCAAGCAGATTTTGTTGTAGGGTAAGAAAAGGCACTGAATTTACAGGATAAAAGACATTTTATTTTACTCCTGGGAAACAACATCCAACAATCGTGATACCACTCAGGCGTTGCCAACGCTTGAGTGATGTCACGGTTGTCACATGGTAACGTGATGTCCATGTAATGTAGATATATATGTGATGTACCTACAAGGGATTTTGAGCCGTGGATGATACATAGATGTGTTGTTAACTTTTTAAATAGGAATAAATAAATAGGAAATGAATATTTTTCAGGAGGAAGAACCAAAAGAGGAAGAAGAATCTAATGGAAAATATATAATTGAAAAGTCTAGAATCAAAAAGAAAATCCTTACGCCATCGCACAGAGCTAACGCAGTCATACCAAAAACTATGCAAAATGGAAACAATACTGCGAAAACAGAAAATAATCGTAAAAGAACTCTGTACGATGTTGTTAGAGAAACAAATGCAGACAAATCAACGTTAGGCCAAAACGCTGTACCATTGACTGAGCTTACGTTGGAGAATGTCACAATCGACTTTAATGATATAATTGGTATGCGAAGATGTTTTTATGATCTGTTCAAAATGGTGAAAGATATGAGGAATTTGAAATTTGATAGCGTTAGTAACGAATGTGATAATAAATTAGAAATCGAATGCGATGAAGACTTGTCTGATGACGAAAAAGAAAACGTTGAAAGTGAAGAATCCCAACGTTTCGGTGATGCATCGCTCGCAAACAATACCTTCAATACACACGAGGCGAACGAAGACAAACCCGAGGCACCGATAGCATCTAATGTCGGTAGCAATGAATGGGTAAGGGCAGCTCTTTATTTTACTTTAGACGGATTCGGATTTTCTGAAAGGATGAACTATTCTAATGCTGTTAGCGGCTTTTACAGCTTCATTGAACGATACAATCATCTGCCATCAACACAAGTGCTGATGGCACTCCAAACCCGCGGAGTAACCACGGTACCAACTCCTGCCTGAGGGCATAGCTAGTGACCTTCGAACCTAGGCTTTCAATCCCCGTTTGAAGTGGTTTATGTACATGTTGTGTGGGATTTACATGAGAACATAGAAATTATTTTCAGAATTTAATAAATGGTAACTTATCTACCTGAATTAATTGTGTAGGCCGGAGAATTTACAATTAATTCAGATGCGATTCCAGCTAGCATTCATTATTTATGTATAAATTTGAAGAAAGTAGAGAAAATTATTCTAGGCAAGTTGTAGTACGGATTAGTATGAATAAAATTTATTGCATTTCAGGTACCCATAGGAAGTGGGAAAACACTGATACATAAAGACAGTTTTAGAAAAGTGAATTGGAAATCTTATACAATAGCTACACGCACATTATTGTTAGCTGCTTTCCCACGGAGGTATGGTATCTACTAATTGTTTTACGTGTATAGCGTAAAAAAGTGAATAAATTAAGCCATTGGATACAATGTATTGTACCTATAACTTTTCAATATTATAGGTACTAACGGCTCAAGATTCATCCCTAATGCTTTATTCCTCCGTAATATTGCTATATTTATCACCAGACAAATTTTTTAAGGAAAATTGTATTTGATAATGTCGCATTTTGTTAGTTGTTTGATAGTTTTTTTATATTATTTTTCTGTGCGCAATAAAGTGATCTATAGATCACAATTCTTAAAAAAATATTTTCAGCCAATGAGATTTATTATATTTATGTTTATGCCAAGGTCCCTCATGGGGTATCTAGGTACAAAGAACTCTTCCTACTTTTCCTTATTTACTTTTCTAACACGTCTCATGTGCACAAACTTATTCAATACTAATAGGTATATATTCTCTAGAAGTAGTGAGACTTAATGAGCAAATGTACGTGTTCTAGGACTTTAGCCACTCATTCTTTGACGGGGAAAAAGTCTCCAGCATTTCAGAATAAACCGCCGAAAATGTGTTTGGACCCGAAAATTATATCCGACATCATCATCGAAATAATGGGCAAATTCAAAGTGAAAGAAAATTTGGTCAGGTAAGATGTTAAAATTAACAGGAGTAGAAACTTGTATAAATATCTACATGTACCTATATGTAGGAGTTGTAGTAATGGACCTCTGTCCAGGTCACTCAACGCCATTCATTCAATAGTTTCAGCTCGCTACTTTGTCGCCATGACTATATCCATTTATTTTGGAAAAGAATAGCATTACCTTAAATACCTTACTTACACTATAAATAAAAAATCGAAATAACAAACTCACTTACGCGCCATTATTATTCCGCCACAATGTTATAGTTATTTTTATTTTGACAGTTTTAATCTTAGATTCCGTAAACAGTACAATATCATGAATCAAATTATTTAAACCATACAAATTTTTCATTTACAGAAGCATTATCACAACGAAATGTGCAGATGAATGTAAAATGTACAAGGCTAGACTTCAAAAGAAAAAAGTGTCGTCTAAGAAAAGAACACCGGCAACGACACAAGAAGTTGGAAATAACGAAGAAGATCCGGCACAGTAAAATATTATTTTATATAAGTATTTGTAAGGTCTGAGCGTGTACCTACTAGATAGATTACTATCTACTTCTGCAATAATAGATACTAATGATTTTATTTGTTTCACAATATCATAATTATGTACTTAATAATTTTAATTGATTGTTTAATTGTAGATTTAAGTAATCAAGATATAAATTGTCAATGTAACTCATTCATTCAATATTCTCCACAATCGACAAGACCCAAAAACAGAGGCGTTATTAATATATATTCGCATTAAATATATTGCGCATTTCTTAAAATTTTGTATCTGCTCGTATCTATGAAACAAAAACATTTATGAAATAAAATGTGTTATAAAATGAAAGAGTTAAGGAAAAAGCGTAAAAATATTTATTGTATGTAGTATTAAAATACTTTTTAATATCCTTATCAGTGTTGAATATTTAATAAAAACATCCAAAATATCAAAACAGTAAAAAAGGTAAGGCTGACTAGAATTAGTGTTAATCGTTAATCGACTATTTAGTAAATCAACTATAATGATACCAGTTCGTGAAATATTGAATATCTTTCACGAACTGGTATCATTACTCCACTAATTTAATATTAGGAAGAACTTATTGGATGTTATATACGGACATCTTGATTCCTTATAATATTAACCGACAAAATACCTAAAAAGGTAGTTTGTATATAAAATAAATGAATGCCCTTTGAATGTGTATCATATAATTCTTCTGTGCCTGTATTTCCCCAAAAGACTTGTTTGTGCGAGTTGTATTCATTTGGCTCAACACGTATAATTTTGCTACATAATTATAAGTATTTGAAGCGATCGTACGTTGTCAATTACTTAATCGACGCAGGCCCTAATTGCCCTGTTGGAATATACCAAGTGGGGATAGTACCAAGTCTATATTTGTACTCGCTATAATGGCCCTCATAAGCATCATGTCGTCTGGCGTAAACCGCCAGCCACTTAGTTGACCTAGGCTCTGAAGCTTGGGGCAGCACTCCATCAGAAGTTCCACAGTGTCTCGCGTCAATCGGGGAGCATTAGGAAACCAAATGCCTTCAAGATTCTCGAACTTATATCGGCGGACCATCCTGAAATATTACGAAATAATTTCGTATCAATAACGGCAATAGTCATGGCTGTCTGTGGCAATCTAATGGCTGATACTAATTGATTTTAATGAAAATATTAAATTATAGATCTTTCTTCTGCTTTTTTTCATTGATAGCAGAAGAAATCTAAAATAAAAACATATAAATTATGTATCTTACAAACTTTGACGTAATGGATGTTTGAGGTGAGAAACTTGGAATTAATTACAAACAAGACCATATTGTTGGTGAGGTTTTTCAATCATTATCAAACCACACACAATAACACAAGAACCAGCATAATAATTTAATTTTCAGATTTCTAAAAGAACTGGAGGAAATAAGATTACTCAACACAATATTCACAAATTATTTGAAACCTAATCAAATGCTAATAATAATTTAACATTGGAATATATGATCATGTAGAAACTTATTATTTGGCAACAGTAATATAATAAAATTAGAGTTACGTAAAAATTAATTAAAAAGATTCTCATAGAAGGTTTAAGTAAAATAAAAAATAATATAGTTTGCTATAACGTGGAAAAGAAAAAGTAACAATGGTGAATATAATCTACCTAGTATGCTTACTTAATTATTATTTATATAAATTAATTAAATACCTTGAAATGTCGTTGTCATCGAGCTTGATTTCATCCCCGATGATTAATTTTTTGAGACTTGGGCTGCCCGTCATCAAGTACTTGAGACATGAAGGTGACAAGTTTCCATGTATAATCTCAATGTGTTCCAATTTATTAAACGGTATCTCCTCCTCGTGTGTCGCAGTTTGTATCTGATAGAACTCTATGCTCTCCAAATTTCTACACGTCTCTGCTATTCTAGTAAAGTTGAAGGACCCTTGAGATGCAGAAAGCATAAGAGTTACAATTTTATATCCTATTTTATCCAGTAATTGATGCAATTCGTGACATTGGAATTTATTCAATTTGATTTTATTTACATTACTTAATTCTTTAACTTGTTGGAGAACGCCCTGGTCAGGTTCCTCTAAGTAAATAGTTTCTAACATCGGACACAGCGCGAGTATCGCTTTCATCATACGGACATTCGTTTGAACATCGTGTAAATATTGTAATTTTGTTTTGAAATCTGGTGGGCAATCAGTATTGTAAATATGGTATATAGATTTACCGACGAACGAATAACTACCGAGGTTGGTGAGGTTGGGTAACTGACGTATCAGTAATGCTACATCTGTGTGATCAATGTTCTCTTCACCGTACATACCAATGTTTACGACGGTCAAGCTTTGCGTAAGCTGGGGATTACCTTGCAGCATAGCATCAATACCGATCTCCGTAATATCTGTTTCCCCAGATACATCTAAAAGCTTCAAAACTTTGTTACATTCACCGATATACTTCAGTACTTCATCGTTGGCTATATAAGGTATATTTAGTACAGTCAAATTAGGTAAATTCTTGATTAAATGATACATAAGCGTCAAATGTTCATCTTTGACCCACACTCCTTTTAAATTGAGCGAGGTTAAATGTCGTCCTTGGTCTATAATGAGTTCTAGCACTTTTCTATAATAAGGGCAGGGGAAAATTCCCGTCGCTAGGCTCTTCACGTTTTCTTTGAGTAGCAATCGCATGGAGTAATATCTAATAGACGGATCCAGGTACTCTGAGCTTAGTATTAAATTAATGAGATCTTGGAAAATGTCACTCGTAGCGCCCATGCTCTCGTAGTAGGAGGTGACCATTGCGAACGGTAGCCCCACATCTTCTTCGGAAGACACCCGCGTCAAGGTATGTATAAGCTGTCTCGCTACCAACGATAACGTGATCTCCTGCAACGGCGGTACTGGACACTTGGGCGACATGATTCACTGCACTTTCCTAATAATAATATCACTGCCACTAAAACACAACTAAATTTTACTATTTGAGCATCACTATCAACTGCCACTACTCACGGTTTTTGGAAGTGAAAGAAGTAAAAATTTCGTATAGCTATTTAGCACACGCATGCGCACCGCCGCTGGCAAATCGCCAGCATACGTTTATACTCCAAACTCACACAAACTCGTGCGCATTGTGTATTTATAGAACATTTATAAAAAGTGTTTACCACGCCACTGTCATTGTTATTATAATCTGATCTTATAAATGAAATAATAACGGTATAGGAAATTCAGTGTAATAATTTAATAATTTTGCTATGAAAAATATACCATACAGTAAAAGATAAATAAAAAAATAATTAGTCAAAATTACTTTTATTCTAATCCTTAAATAACTAATTACATTAATATTAATGAAGTGTTAGCTTCGAGCTTCAAAATATCTATCATTTATTCGCTTCATAAATGACTAATAATATATGTAAATTTTTATATCTCATCAATCAATACAACACAATATATATACACCATGAAAATACGACAAAAATAGATCATTTCAAAATCTACATCCATTGAATTATAATATCCGCCATCTATTTATCGAGTGGTCACGTGGGGACAGGTAAAGTTTTTGCGACTAGTAACAAAATCTGTTCCGTGCTGAAACACCAGTTAGCGATTTCCTTTGAAACCTTGCACCAATATTCGCCGTGATGGGGTTCTGCTGTCTTGCACCTGGTCTTCACTTCCTCCTGTTGTTGCTCAGTGCCGTGGAGAAGTTCGAATTTGTAGAAATATGCCCATGCGTCTCCGAGATCCGGATCGATTTTCACCTAAGGATTTTTAGTAACATTATAGTTTTTGTAGAGTGACAACGAAACCTTTGTGATGGAAAGCGCTAACTGTCGTTTATATCTCCATATGTTCATATGGAACCTATATAGTAATGTGTAATAATCATGTAATAATCATAACAGTTTATTTTGCTATATTTCTGTCTATAGGCGACAGTTAGTGCCTACCAAGCAAAATTACACCATCTCACATTTCGAAACGAAATAACAAGCATATGGTGGCGAATACACGAATAAGTGATGGTGTGAGTCACCACGAATATTCGTATTTCTGATTTCAAATTTGGAGGAGTCCCCTCCTCTATTTTTACTATTGCTTCATTATATAGTACAAAATAAAGTCGCTGTTGCTGTCTGTCCCTGTGTATGCCTAAATGTTTAAAACTACGCAGCGGATTTTGAAGAGGTTTATTTAATAGATAGAGGGACTCTTGAGTCACTGTATCCTCTTGAGGAAGGTTTATATATATAATGCATGTACATCCGTGCAAAGCCGGGGCGAGGAGCTAGTTTATATTTATATAAGAAAAATACGTTCAATTTTTTATCCGTAATTATAAAATATTAATACAAGACTATTTAGTTATTTAAAAATAAACTCAACCACCGCAACAGAGATGTCTAACGGTTACTTAACCAACTCCTTAGTGCTAATAATTAAAGCTATTGACTAATTCCGTATTATTACAAAAAAATCATCATTCCTAAGCTACTGACAACCTTAATGGAGCATAGGACAGTGAACATAGGATTCATTTATATTATAGTTTTTATTTTTACTATTAGTAATATGTAGAAGTCTACTGGCTTATATGCTGTATAGTATATAGTACCGTCAAGGTAAAAATCACAGTGAAATCGTTGAACTCGTTTCTGTCTAAACAAATATAATGAATTCATTCGGTGGCTACGCTTCTACAAAGATAGATTTTACAGGGGTTAATAGTCTGTAAAAGTGTACATGATGAAAAATTCTAGCGGATAAATCGTATTAAGCTAGGAACTGTAAGGCATTCCTACAATGTATTCAGCAAATGAACATTGCAATTTACAACTAAATATAATACATTTTATTGTTGCATCTTATCAAGAGATTTTCGAATAAATATTTTCTCATCTTAATATCTCTGGAACGTATCCAAATATACCTGATGGTTACATTTGACGTGAACGACAAACCAACAGAAATAATTCTATCGCCGACGTGCAGTGGGCAAAGTCTTTTTAATGTGGTAAGTCACAAGAAAGTCGACTAAGGGAGCACAGCAATATACAAAGAAGAAAAATTCTGTCCCCTATCCAGTCGGGTAATATCCGCTGTATCAGATAATTTTTTTGGCGTTTCGAGAAAATTAGGTGATATACAAATTAGAAATCTACGTAATACGTAGTCTAGTTGTGATTACGAGTCACAGTGCGATTTGAATTCTCTGAAAATACAGTACAATGTTCCACCCTCCACGTTGCGTATAGCGCGGAGTACCTAAGCATGCCCAATGTTTGACTATGCACTTATGCCAACAAAGTGTTTTGTGAAATAGAGTTAGGCGACTATGACTTAAGAAAATGTATATATAATTATATGTTTCTACTTAGTTTAGGTTCCAGAGAACAATTTAAATTGTAAATATTTGATGCAAAATAATAGATATTATTATTCTCGTATATAAATAAAAAAATATAAAACATTTCATATACATTTATTCTGCCCGACAAACAAAATCATCCGGTACATTCCTGTTCTATTGTGGGATGATATTTATTGTCCCAATGTTAAACTACATATTGGAATGAAAACAACGTGAGGGCCCACCAGATGGTAACTATCGCCTCTATACTTATAAATTGATGGCTTTTATACCTATCGACCACAAAATCTAACAAAACATAACTTGTCATTTAATCAATTCAATTAACTGGCTTCACATGACACTTTCTTTTACGTGATCATGACCGTGGGAAACCCGGCACGCGCAATCATGTGGGATTTAATTTTTTTTTGTTCAGACTTTCGAGCATTGGCAGTGTCGTTTCATGTCATTTCCTTTTCTTTTAATTTCATTGATTTTGATTTCCAGAGACGTTTAAGATTCATAATTTATCAGTAACTCAATAATTATTAGTTTTCTCTATAGTTCTTTGCCGCCATTGATATCCAATGATAATAATTAATTATTTAAAAGGGCGCTAAAGCACGCATTATTGAAAAACGTGGGAATGCGCGCTCGCACTCGCTTATTACATTTACATGCACGTTCTTTCCTGTCTGGAAGTCTGAAAGAAAGTACGTGTAAAGACGCTTAAGACAATTAAGCATTTAGAGTAGAATTAACCATTTATCCTTTCAAATTTATTACTTGATCCTTTTACATTACTGAGGACGTGGTTGTAAGTCATGTAGTATGTAAATATCTACTCACCGTCCTGTTGAACCACTCGCGACACTTGTTGACCTTGGACTCAGTCCAGAAGAGTTGCGAGACGGCGAGCAGTACGTGTGCATCGTGCTCGCATTTCTTCAGCGCGTCTACCTGTATATTTCATATAGTTATTATAAAGCCCACCTCCGATTGTGTAATATCGTGGAAAGTAGAGATAAACTTGAACAGACTGATTCGTAGCGTTACATTTAAGAATCTTTAAGACTTTGGTGGTCAAGTTATTTAAGCACACCGTATTACTTCCTATATTATTAGATTCTACTTATTGAGCGAAGCAAACATTTGTATTCATGAGTAGGATTGTTTGTATTGATCTGATTGTATGTATATTATGTGTCTGTTTACAAAAATGTATTTTTATCAGTTGTCTAGACCCTATAACACAAGTTCTACTTTAATTGTCTGGGGTTGGTATTATTATTGTTATATCACGGTAAGAAGGCATAAACTTGAACAAACTGATTCGTACCATTAGATTGTCTTAGTAGTCAGGTATTTAATACATATATTCACACCTGTAATTCCAAAGGTGATAGTTAGAAGAATTAACGGCACGTTGTGGTAAGCGCTATTTGATATATCCACGCGTTTCAATATGTTTTAATCCAACATAACAACGGGGGGCGAAGGAGTCGTTTCTTGGATTCGGATTATGTAATTTATTATCGATGTTCTCTATCAATTTCCATTACTTAGTCAAAAACTTAAATACACAACTTATCTTTAAAAAAATAACTTATCTTTAAAGAAATATTATGGTCATTTGATTTAATCACAGTTCCTTTTGGAGTTAGTAGATCGCAGACCATTATTCTACTTTGGCTATTATTCATATTGTGTCCAGGCCATGACGCTTACAATATACATAAACTCCATGATTTTTTACAATACTCGTCTATGGCCAATGTTAGCCGGTCCATTTGTTAATCAATACTATTTACTAGTAAAACAAATTCTTACGCTTTTAGTTTTTCTTTGTGGTCTTGACTCCATGAATATCGCCTCCGCCCACAACCGTCCTGCGGTAGTGCATTCTTGAAGCGCCTTTGCCATCACAGCATTTGCTATCTCCGCGCTGCCGTTTCGCCTTTCTAATCTAACGCTTTCTAACCTGTAAAATAATTAGATTATTAATAAAATCGGCCAAGCGTTGGTGTTGCGTCAATTATTAAGGTTTTCGTTATTATTAATACATAATAATATAAACTATTATTACACAAGGTAATATATTTTTTATTTGTCATATCAATGAATAAATAATTATTGAATGTAAGATTTCTTCAAATCCTATTTGCTTTATTCTGCAGGCAAGGTCCAGAAATTATTATGTTGTACCAATTTTAAAGCTAATCTATATGTATAGCTGAGAAAAACACGCCTGACTGACACAGACAGACATAAAAATTTTACTATAACCATCTCAATTTTAATAATTAAAATACGAGTCTGATTAGAGTAATAAGGGAATACTACTATACATACAATTTTACATATACAACATTAGCTTTTATATATTTATTACTGCATTGAAATCAGTTGCGTAATTCAAAATATATAAGCGGTCAGACAGCGGCAGTGACTTTATGTTATACCACGTAAAGATTCTGAATCAAATACTACTACTTACCATAGCTCAGGATTCTTAGGATTCCTCAATCTAGCTTTTTCTAACACTGATCTCGCTTTGGTGACATGTTTCAATTTCTCTTCCAACCTGGATAACAAGATCCACATGGGGACACATGTCGCACACTTTTTCAACTAAAATATAAAAGAGATCTAAGTAATATATCTAAACAATTTTAATTCACCTTACCATTCATTACGCTATCAAGACGTTTGTAACAGGGTAAAAATATCATGGAGAGCTCATATATATTTTTTTTATCACGGCATTATCCCGTTACATAGTTTTAGAAAAGCATTTCAAAGTTACCCAAGTAAATGAAGCTATTATTTATTGCTTATATCTAGGCATAGGATAGTATTTTTTATTGTTTACGTTTTTTTATAGACTATTAAGAACATAAAAGAAGTAAATTTAAACATTGAATAATCTGCAGTTCAATATTGAATAAGTTATTTATGAGTTTCTAGTTTATGTGTTTTTTCTATATCTTCAAAATTTGTAGGCATACGTTGTAACGCCTTTAATTAAGTATCCTTTAATTGTATTTCTTTCGTGTAATTTAATTGGCAGCAATAAATTATTCTTATTATTAATATCATGTGTACAATTGGGTATTTAAATGTTGATACATAGATAGTAAAATTGACTATGATAGCCAAATTTACATATTACTACTGTTACGAGTCATTTCGTCTACCTTTTTTAGATGAAAGATGTGAGGAGGATAGATTATCTTCATAATAAATTTCATTAAGATCCATTCGGATGTTTAGCTGCGAAAACGTAGCAAAGAATTTGACACATATCTATATCACAATCTATAATATTATTAAAATTTTAAATGTGCTACACGAGTGTACATTCATACATGCTTGAGTTTAAGAAAGAACTTACCCCTTGAAAATAAGTATTATGTGCGTCATCATCTTTCCCCATCTGCTCCTCAATTTGACCTTTCATCATGTGCAATTTTGCGTAATCACCGAACACCTTGATCGCCTCTTCAAGCAAATTTAAAGCTACATCCAAATTATTTAAAGCCCATTCCAGTTTGGCTGATTTTATCATAACCTGAAACAATAGTATACAACATTGTAATATTATTGCTATAGATTACATTATTTACTTGATAGCTTTCAATTTAAAAATAATGATAATTATTAATTTTAAAATTCCGGTTGAGTCGCTCTTTGTACTTGATATAATTAATGAGATAATATTAAGTATACTACTATGCGTGTTCTGTTTTGGTACAGATAATAAAATATATTTATCGAAAAAAAATATCACGTGCTTAAATTAATCGTACAATTACAATTACACGGAAGTCTACGAGGAGATCCGCTATGGTGTTTATCATTGAGATTTTTTAATGATGTTAATAATAATAACATTACCGAAGTAGACATCATACAAAGTTGTAAGCGTGAGCTCGTCTATCTCACCTATTTTATCGACAAAGCTTCATCTGAAACACGCTTACGGCTTGCACTGTAAGCTATGTTACAAATAAAGGTTGAAATATGTTAGTAAGATTAGAGAGTAAGGAGCAGGGATGTTAGGGAACTCCGTAATCGTAACGGAAATTATCGGATATCCGATATAAAAAAAATATTCGTAACCGTAACCGAATCCGAAATAAAAGTTCCGGATAATATCGGATAGGGGCGGAGCCTAATAGAGACACGTTATGTGGCCATTTTTTTAGCTATTTTGAAATTCCTTAAAAAATTAATATCCGTAACCGACATTATCCGAAACTAACGGATAATCCGAAATAATTTCATATCCGCATCTGTATCCGGTACAATAATCATTTCTATATCCGAAACCTATCCGTATCCGAAATTACATATCCATAACATCCCTGATAAGGAGTACAGTGGCATGAGAATTAAGGTAGTCTTCCAGAATGGTAAGGAGGTCACATGATGACGTTTTATCAATGGTGTTGTTTTTAGGGTTCCATGTTGTTGTTGCCATTTTTACCATTACGTGGGCGATCAGCCTGTTTCCCATTACCTTATATAAAAAAAATTACTACTTGTAATAAATGCAGCATTTAGTATATAGAAAAAAATATATACAAGTCGATATATCCTTACCCTTGGTGTTGGTGCAGAAGCCCTTGCCTTAGACAATAACCGCCTTGCTCGATCGTATTCTTTATTCTCACTCTCCAGCTTGACAGCAGCTAACCAAATTTCCTCAGAGTTAGGGTTCGCTTGAAAGGCAAGTGATAAGATACCACGAGCTGCGGGTACGTCGCCTAGTAAGAGAAATAAAATATTAGAAATAAATAAAATATATTTCTATTAAAATGACTATTCTTGTGTTATAAGTAGATATATAAAGTTTTACAAATTTTTTATGTAGGTACAGTTACTTTACCAGTATTTAATATAGCCTTTTTAAAATACTGGTAGTTCTCAAATTGGAATTCACCAATAGAAAAGGTCGTAACCCTTCCAGAAATTTGGGATCTCACACATGCTAATGGTATCGATATTAAACAAAACAATATAAATCCCTTAAATAATAAATACCAACCTGCCAGCCACTTAGATTTAGCTCCCATAAGCCAAAGCACTTCAGATTTCGGACAATGTGCAACAGCTCTCTGTAACAATGCTTCTAAACTTGCTCGGGTGCCGTGTTGTTTCTCTAGGTATGCTGCACGAAGCCATATCGACTTCTTAGATGGGAATACCGACAAAGCGTACCCGTAAACTGCTCGAGCGCATTCGTAAGCACCTTCATTTGCGCACTGTAAAAAAATAAATAAAATCAAAACTATTGTTTTTCGAATGTGTTAGAACTATAAATTCGTGTTCGAAGATAAATACAACAGAGATACAAATAGTTAATTGTTCCAATAATTAATTTACACCTCTAGCTCACGCACAAGTCTTAAATAAGATACACGTCAAAGGTAGACGGAAAATAGGTGGCTTAAGTAAGCGAAAGTATGTATGTATGTCTGATTTTTTTTTACAACTTAATGGCTTAACAAAATATAATCAAATTTGTTGCAAATGTATGTATTAAGAAAACAGTTATAGAACTTTTTATTTTAAAATGTAAGCGACGTCGGGGGTACGGCTAGTATTTAATCAATGTAACATATATGTATGATCATGTATACAATGGTATAATATACAAGGAGATAACAATAATATACATTATAAATACAATAAAAAGGAACTCTGCTTATCTAATCGTACTGTCCGAATATTGTTTTCTTAGAGATAAGTTCAAAGCAAGATGAAATTACTCTTACGAGTAGGATATGAGAATCGAAGCGGACTTTAATATTACTGCGATAAATTAATAATAATGAACATGTTTTTTTCATCAAGTACGTTATGAATAAGTTTTGTTTTAAAAACTATTGTAAAACTGTTTTCTTTTTAATATTTTGAAGCATTAATAATTCCAACAGTCGGCCGCATATAACTATAACAATAACAGACAAAAACAATGGTCTATCAACAGAGAAACGTTATTGAAAAATAGACAAGATTTCATTGATAACTGTCCTGACGACCATCAGAGCGTTTAATCAACCAAACATAAAAATATCTTATTTTTTAAAAGATAAAATCTATTCAACGTGTTGTGCTCGAGGACCAAACCTATATATTACGAGTATACTGAACTTACAGCTTCGGCATCTTCCATCCAAGTGTGTTTCTGATCTTCAGGTTCAATTCCATGTCCGATAACTGCCCGAATAATAGCCTGAAAAAGAAAAAATTATATAGTATTTCATTTTTAGATATTTTAATACGTATTACTAAACTATGTAGGCAGTAAGTTCACACAGGGAACAATGCACTATATATATATTTCATTACATGAATCCTTCTATTACTCCCACTGGTTCCACTGATAATCTGTGATTGGGCATTACAACCTAGACACAAGCTGAGTGGTAACCAATTTTCAACACAGTTGTATATATTAAATATTAAATTAAATAAATTGTAAGTATTGTATATATGCAACATACAAATAAAATACTTATATAGGTATATTGTATATAACATACAACGGCGGACAGTTAACACTCATTTTGTTTCTTCAGAAAAAAATACTTTATAATTATAAAGTTTTCTTTTAAATGTAGGCTTACTTTATGTTTTATGCATATTATGAATGTTCTTTTCATTTACTTCTTATATGTTTGTTACGATAATTAGATATGCGCAGTATCATTTTTTTTTCAAGTAAGTGTCGTACAATCACACAACCGATTAGTTTTTTGTATTACTATTTTTATTGTAAAAATACTTTTCATCAATTGTAATCGAGACTTAAGATTAATTAAATATATATAAATATGTTTTAATTAGTAATAAACAAATTATACATATTTATCTTTAGTTCTAATCACAAACGATACACATCGAGTCTGTTAGTAGTGTAATTAATTAGTTATAACATAAATAAAACAAATGGACAATTATTGCCAGATACCGCTCTATAATTTGCAATAATTTTTTAACTATGTGAAATTGTAGGATAAGAGGCATGACAGTGCTATTAATGAAAGTGACGGTTACCACCTACCATCACATGGGACATCAGCTGGTTTGGCTTTCTAATTAAATAATGTAGCTATAATAAATATGATGTGATTGTTATTATAATTTAAACTACAAAGACAGTAATAATTATATTATTACTGTCTCAGACATATATTTTCATACTATTAATATTATAACTATGAAAGTTTGTGAGATTGGGTGGAAGTTTATTAATCTTTCCTACAGAAACTAATGCACAAATTACAATGATATTTAATATATATAGATAACTTATATTCCAGATTAATACAGGATACGTTTTGCGAACAGTGTTTAAGTACACAACTAGTACTTAATTAATTATTATTTTTTGGCTGATGTGGTCTGGAAGGTAATATATTATAATTATAATAATAATACTAATATTTATTATATCTATTTAAGCTCATAGCAAATACTTCTGTTAATATGTGAAATCATGTGTAGTGAATTAATAAAGGCTTTGAATTTGAATTAATTACTACTTTAGTGTGATGTATTACTGTATAACATACCTGACAAGTATGAACAGCTCCTGACTTCTCGGCCTCCATAGCTTCTTTAAACCAATGTTCGCGATTAATTTCTACACCGTTGGAACTAAGCGAAGTTATAGCACGATCTATGATCTTCTCAACCATATGTGTATTACCTGATTTGCAACATAAAATGTAAGTGAGAAGGTATGAGAAGGTCCATAAAGACAAATAAAAATGAAAAATACATGATTTTTGCTAAGCTGTTTTAAGTTTGTATCCACTAATAGGGCTCATATTCATCTAAATTTACCAATTGTAAACAACTGTAACTGTAAACATTATGGAAGGCAATACAATATTGAGCATTAAGTAAAAAAAAATAATGCCTGAACAGATTAATGACATACCCAGGCGTACATTCAAAAGTGTGTACATTGAGTTAAAGCATTATACTATTAAAGATTATCATAGTTAGTTACATAATTTGGAAATACACTAACAAAGCAGTAGAGAAATTGGTAATATTTTAAAGCTTTTCATTAATAATTCAAATTCCGTGTTTTAATAGTTAGATATTAGATTGTGAAAAGTGATGTCACGAAATTTAGTTCTCTCTCATCCCTTGTCAGATTGTGTCGACCCCTTTCCTCCTCAACGTGTGACGTATGTTATAAATGGATGTTATGTTACAATGAATTAAATGTGTTTGCGCTTATAATTGCTGACGATCTAATCAGACAGAACAGAATATTGTATTAAGTTGTAAGAACTAGTGGTCGCTCATATTCGACCATAATTAATTTAAATTATAAGATTAAGATTCTATTGTCAAAGACTATGTGTGTGTGTTAAATACATGATAGTGTGTGTAATGTTTTACTTACTGATTTCATATATTTTTTATGCATCATTTAAAAGAATATTAGCATTATGCCCTCCTTCTCTATATAAAATTTAAGTGTACGAAATATCATATCGTTTGTCCGCGCGATTTTCTTAAAAAGGGTTACATAGTTTTTTCTTAACATATATAATAATAAAGCAATGTTAAACTACATACCATGAGCTTCTTCTAACTTAGCAGCAGTCACCCAGATCTGTCTATCGGTAGGTATGTTCTCGCGAGCCTTATTTAACACCTTCCTAGCATTTTCGTATGACTCGAGTCTTGCTAAAGCCAGCCATAATTCAACACTAGTCGGACAGCACTCCACCGCTCTGGAGAGAAGAATTCGAGCATCTTCTGGGTTCTCCAATTCCACAGCTGCTTTCCAAAGACGTACTGAATTGGGAATATGTTCCAGCGCTTTGCGGTATACACGACGTTTTGCCTATGTAAGAATAGTTGAAAATATTTTAACAGAAACTTTATAGATGTTGTTATTCGAAAAAAGTCAGGTTCAAGTTCTGTGTGGTAAGAAAAAAATATTTATTTGTTCCACTTGGCTTCATAGGTGACTTCATAGGTTACGTGTTGCATCATAATATCATCACGCTATTACGAAAACTTTAGTTATTTTATTTATTTATATTTAAATAAAAAAACACATTAGAAAACTTTACATAGCAATCTGATCACCATAACAGGTCTATATCATCCGCTATAAGGACGACCCATACTCAACAGTGGGATGATAATAAGTTTATTTCTTGCCTTACCTTTGTTTCTTGCTCCAATTCAGCAGCCTTTACCCAAATCCTGACACTGTGAGGTAAGTTCCTAGCGGCATGTGCGATAACGGCCCGAGCGGTGTCTGGAGGTTGTAACCTCGCCGCTTCCAGCCACAGTTCCTCACTGCTAGGATTCACTTCACACCCTTTCATTATTAGATTACGTGCCGATTGAACTTTGCCTGAAAATTAAAAAAAAAACGTGTGTAAAAGTACGTACATTAAAACTTTATAATTTAATATATACCTAAATACATTTATATTGAATCTCCCTAAGAATAAATAATATTATGGAATTTTTAATTAACGCTGTGAAATTTCATGTAGGTAACCTATTCTAAGAGAAGAAAATGCATTTTTCATTTAAGCTGATTGTAAAGGTTGTAAATTTTTCAATATAAATTCTTTAATGGTTATATTTCTTTTTGATTTTCTATAGCCTAAAGTAACAAAAAATATATTTATTTGGATTGAAATAGTGAATTATATGTAAAGTGTAAAGTATAGATAATTTTTTTCACCTGTAACTTCTTCTAATCTAGCACTAGCAATCCATGCAGGTGGATGATTAGGATTGGTTTCTCTGACTGACTTCAGAAGTAACCGCGCCTTTTTTATATCGTTTATGTCACCACCGTAAGTTGGGATCATAGATTGCAAGTCAGTGAGGTAGCCTTTGGGATCGACAACTGTCTGACCTGTCACTGAGTCTGACACCTGAGACAATTTGACTGTCATTAGGGTGTTCCTTGCTTGTCCAATCTTCCTTAAATCCAAGTCACCTGGAAAAAGTAATATATTAATTGATGATTTCTAAGTAAGGTTTGGGTGTATAATTAAATAAATAATAATTTTATACAAACAATTGGAGGAATCAATATACCTGAAGGAGTCAACATTCCAGGAGTTGTAACGCCGGGCATCATGGAAGCTAGTCCCGAACCAGGGTCTATGGAAGAGGATGATTCCCCTCCTAAGTTCCTCGAGAGCACACTATCAGGTAGAGGTGTAAATTTTTCAGCTCGCGGGTTACGCTGTTTCCTATTACGAGCATCACCAACTTCGGGAATGGCAGACCATTCTTCTTCAGAAACTTGTTTCAATTCTCGTTTGAGATCTGAAAATTGCTGCTGGATTTTTGGTCTGAAACACAATATTAGTTTTTGTAATATAATACTTGGACAATTTACACAGCGCCATCTAAATTCAAGGTGAGCATAGTTTGTGTTATGGGTGTTAGACAACTAAATAGTTTTATTGAAGTTAATTTGTATTTTTTTTATTAAATATTTTTTTGTATGTGTTGTATTAGAAAACAGGGTGGGATCAAACATGGTACCATAAAAAAACTATTAATCACATATATAAATAGATATATGTGATTAATAGTTAACTTTATGTGTCAATGGTAAAAGGAAGAAAAGAACTACCTTTCTTGACGATATCTTTCTAGATCTTCTTTGAGACGTTTCTCTCTGTATTCTTTTCTTTTCTCATCCATACGTTTGTCAATTGATTCATAAATTGCATCTGCTTCGGCGTCATCTTTATCATATGGATCCTAGAACACCAAACAATACAACAATATATATCATAAACTTAATATAATTGCTATAACAAAAATAATTTCTAGGTATTTTTCAACTCTTTTATAGCATTGAAGTTGATTCATCTATTTTTTTATTTGCGCAACTTTTACTATATGATTTCTTTCATAAGTACCCATGATATTATATCTTGATTATATGTTAAACTGCACACATGCAATCCTAAAATCTGGGACAATACAGAGCAAGTGTTGAGTAGCAGCTGAAATTGTTTCCTAGATAGCCTCTTGTGATAAATAAATAATTACGGAGATTCATTCAAGATAACTATTTGTATGAGAAGATCTAGGGGGGCTCCTCCAATATCACTACCAATTTTAGGACTGTTTATTATGTGTAAACCATTTTAACTTTAAAGTGACAAAATTGTAAGTTCCATCATATTTTGCTTACTGATATTCTGCCAGTTAGTAAAAGACATAAAGATGGAAATAAGATACTTTTCACTAATACAATGTATCTATATCAAAAGTTAAAAACAACTTTGATTATAAATGAATAAAGTTATATATATAAAAGTACCTTGGAAAATAAAGATCCACTATATCCAGAAAATTCATCATAGTTAGAATCATTCAAGTCCTCATCATCATCCTCTTCTTCAGTTTTTTTACGTTTAGTTGCAGGTGGTGCATGACGATCATCACTGTAAGCATTAAGTTAACATTTGTGAGTGTCTTCTTTCGAAAGCAAAATATGAATTTAATAACTTTGATAGATGTCATCTTTAATTGTGTATATTAGTAATGAAAGTCAGTTACCATATTTATACTATAAAATAATTAACTCCATTTTTTATTGCAATACTATACATGTCATTTTTTCATTACAAAAATAACAAATAATAAGCCTTCAAAAACAAAACCTTAGCTGCAATGTATACACACAACAGACAGCAAAGCAGTTAGACAGCAATACTTATATTGTTTTATATGTATATAGTCTTCACATGCTCTTCCTTATTCCAATCATTTGGAGTTGGTGTAATCTGTTTGTCTTTTACATTCATCCCTGTTCGCAGTCATCTATATAGCTCAAATATAAAATACAAAATCAAATATAACAAACTACTTACGAAACATCATTTGCATCTCTAGCAGGTCCAATATCAGATCTTGTTGTAAATCCTGTAGCTCTGTAAAAAGATAAAGTAAATGTAATGATACAATTACAGGAGAGACATTATTGAATAAGGTTCTTCACTCTGTATTAAATATTAGAAAAAAAAAAGTATGAGACACTAACTGCTACAAACTGAAGTCAACTATATTAAGAATACTTAAGCCAATTTAGATATGTTGTATTTATTTTGTATGTTTTGTCAGGTAGAATAAATCGAAATTAGTTATTAAGATTGAATAGATTTCGACATTCTTAAAGGTGCATATATTCTTGAACATGGCTTTATGGCTTTTACTAAGTTGTATCCTCGTTTCCATTCAGTACTTTTGATAGATTTAAGTAATATAAGGTAATCTCTACTAGAACAGTCTGCGCAGCCTTTTGGACAATTAGGTACGCAATATCGAAATTGTGGATATGCAAAAGAAAAATTACAATAATACTCTATTTGAGGAAGCACAACTAAATAAAAGTAAAATAAGTTAATATATAGTATCTTGATGAAAACTTACCCTCTGCCAACGCCAGCTACATAACCTAATGGCGCTGGAATTCCAAGAAAATGCTTCTTATTTTTGTTTACGAATGCTTGAGGTGGTACAGACATTTTAATCTATAATAATAGCGGTGAAAATATTGAAAATATGAAAACAATTATATTAAAGATTTACAAACATCAAAAATAAATAGACCAAAGTGGTAAGAAATACTGAACGTCATTTTTAGCGTCACTATTTGTTAGTCAGTTCTAACGTCAGTCGTGCAGATCTGTGGTGCAGATTTCTGAAATATAACGACAGAAAACATTTAATTTTCATTCCATCTCAAGAATATTTCGTTACCTAGCAACATGCTGTTTGTTTGTTTGGTTGATGGATCCTAAATTCCTAAAACATTTGCGTAGTATTTTTCTTTAACTAGTAAAGATCTTTTTCCTGAAATATCTAAAAGGCAACGATTGACTAATATATTTTATTTGTATCTAGTTCAAATTAAATGGCGCAGTGCTCATTAAATACTGTAAAAAATGACCAAAATTCTACTGACAATAGTACCTCGACGAAAGAATTTCTGCATTTCGAGAAAGCCTGCGAGGCGCCTAGAGATAGTGATGAAGAAATCAAAATGATATTTAGTGAGATAAATAAATTGGCTGTTGGCACAGACAATGATAAAGTAATTGGTGAAGATGTGGAAGACGTAGAGTTAATTTTAAAGCGTGCCGAAGATATAGCTCTTGAAACTGAAAATTTGCTAAAAACCAGTCCAATCGCCACTAAAAATGGCATAACTACTAATTGTGGCGTGGCCATACCTCAAATCAAAGTCACAAAACCCAATGAAGGTGAAGCTAAATTAGGCGCAAGTGTGATTGCTACTAAGGTAACTATTTGCCTCTGCTTAATGTTAAAACATAGTAAATCAGGGATTGCACTTAATATTAATTTAAGAGTTACTTGCAATAAAAATTATAATATTAGCATTCTACAGTTGAACCTATTTTTTTTAAATTACATGACCTAATATAATTGGGATTCTCTTAGCTGGGAGCTGTAGTTAGTTGATAAGAGTTTGAAAATAGGTAAATAAAAGCAGTATCCAGTTTTCTTTACTTATAATTCTTATGCGTAGTACATACTTACAGTAATTTTATATTTACATTAAGTACCTATTTAAATAATTTATTAAGTTTTCATTAAAGAGAGTCACATTTGCATTATAGTAAAATGTGACAATCTATTTCATAATAAATAATATAAATGTTTGTTCATTGAGATCATTCTTTATTCACTTGTGCAGCCAGTACCCTTAAGGCAGCTAATGATTCCTTAGCAACGTTCTCTATGTATGTTGTAGGGAGTACAAAACCATATCTTCCTTTATCATTAAGTTCAATTGTGTAAGTGTACTTGATGCCTTGACTCTTTGCCCAATCATCAGATCCTCCCGCTGCTGGGTATAAAAGTTTGCTTGATGAACCAACACTGTAATAGTCACCACCTGTTGATTGGATCACCTGAAAATTATGCAATCGTTAATATATAGTTTCTGTATTATAATAGTTAATGTTCACATTAGATCCTTTATATATTATTTTTAATATGAATTCTATTTCCAAAGTAATTGCCTCCAGTATTCAAACTCAAAGTAGTTAGATATTTTATGTCTGGACATTAGAACTATAACTGGAAAGCTGTGACAACTAAAAATAATGTGTAACAAATTATATACAAAAATGTATACTTATTTTGTTTATCTAATCATTTAGTATTGTGTTCATCTTACTGAAGCCATTTTGTCGCCGACAGATTGTAAGTCATCATGATCTGGAGGTACAGCATTTTCATATCCCCATGGATATAAAATGTATTGTCCATAGCTGTGGTATGTAACATAAGCTACATAATTAGCAGCACTCTTTTCAAAGAATTCCTAAAAGCAAAAAAATATAACATTACAGTTTAACTTTATTATCTATGTATTGACATACCTAACAAGCTACCTTGGCATGTTTGGCACCACTCATATGTTGCTATTCCAGAATACTAATATGTAATATGTTTATATTAGAGGATATGAGGGTATTATTTCTATGGAATAATAATATTTATAAATTTCACTGCCTTATCTAGCTCTTTAACCGAAACACATTTTGCTTTCTTTCGGTAAAATGTGTTCAGTATCAATGAACAACTTACTATAGTTTATCACTATAATAATAATGACGTTCTGACACATAAAATTAAGTATAACAATATAATTTAATGCCTTATATTTATTTTACAACTTACATATACAGCACGCGACTCTGGCTCCGAAAAAGCTCTAGGACCACGGTAAATTTCACTGCATGGACTGCTAGACGTACCCTTACCACCCCATCGATATCTGTAAAAAAACTCGCAAACTATAGATTTTGCACGGGTATTAACAGCCCCAATTATTAATATTAGTATTCTAAAAAGTGCATCGTGATGTGTAAGGCTGTCCTCATCAGTGGCGTAACTATACAGTTTAAGCCCCGTGGCAAATTGATCGGATGCGACCCTACCTTTATCTAAAATTGATACTACGTATTATAATTTCTTAAATTGATTTAACATTCATTAGATTATATAGATGTAATAAAATTTTAATTCGTCCTGTGCACTTGGCCTCGTTTTTCTAGCCTATTGTTACACTACTGTTTCTCATGTTCCCAATCTCAAACTGTATGGTAAAAAGTTCTCGTCATTGCATTTGTTGATAGACATTCGAATTTGTTGATCGAAAATGAATAGTGCTTCATCTTCAAAAATAGGATCGTCACTATCTATCGACTAATCACCGAGATGCGTTGAATGATACAGATAGAAGTCTGTTCTTTCCTAACCAAAATAAAAGCATATCGTGCATGTTAACTAGCTGCTAGTATCAGAAAATAAACTATGATATCCTAGAGAATTCGCCGCCATGGCTAATTGACGTTCACGTTCGTCCTATTTATTATTAGGCCCCTGGTGCCCCACCATTAGCACAGGCGCAAGTATTATCCATTATTATGCATTGAAATATCAAATAAAATCTCACCCAAAATTCCTGTTCAAATCAACGCCTGAACACCCTCTTCCTGCGATACCAGGCCGTCTATTTTTCCTCCATAGACGATCGTTCAGATGCGTATACTCATACCCATCAGGATTCATGACAGGTAAAAAGTACCTAAAAATTATAATAGTGCTTTGATGGGCTGATACTTGCCTTGCCAGCGTATACCGTTGGCGGTGCATATCACTATTATCTATTAAAAGACACGACAAATACATGTATGTATCACTGGGATTTTAATTTCTATTGTTTTTTATAATCATAACTTTATATAACAGATACTTTATTAGGTGAATGTAGATAGTAGTTTATGAGTTATGTCAAGATACTGAATTATATCATCATATGATCATTGCAGTTAGAATGTAAGAGTACGAGTTTTAATATCTTATATGTGTGTAAATTTTTATGGCAATAACTACCAGTCCAGTTTTCTGATGTCCTCGGATTCTCCATCGAAGTTTTCAGCAAATTGATTGATGATATAAGTCACTGTTGCGGGGCTGATCCATTCGCGTGCGTGGATACCTCCATCTATGAAAATAGCTTTGTTTGACGGATTACCGTTTGATATCCTTAACACCTAAAAAGAAATAAAAATTTACATTGTACCTTGCTTCATAAGTTGCCTAGCTGACCTCAAGCTTCTGTACTATTAAAAATAGTAAAATAATACACTTTAAATACATAAACTGTTCTTCCGCAGAAGTTTTTTTAAATTACATGACATCCATATTATTACGAAGGAATAACAATATCAGCAACACGGGGTCTAAGTGTAAGAATAGATCAGTTTGGAGAGATCGTCGTTCTCAGAAATTAATCGCTATATTCAGGAAAGAACATTTCTTAAGGAATATACACAACAATAATAATACATTTATGATTATCATTATACTTCGTATTGATGTAATATAACAACAAATTAATTGCATACCTTCAATTCTCGACCCTCATGTGATTTCCCAATAGCATTCACGCTAACTGTAGCAGGATATGTTTTGGATAAATAATCTAAGAATCCATCAATATCTTCTAATCTGTGATATTGTTTCCAATTCATACGGTGTCCTAAAAGCAATTCAATTTTTCGTTTTTATTCTTATTTTTACATATTACGGCAATATTTGGACTATTACAGTGTGTTTTTATGATTTTATATAGAGTAAGAACCATCCAAAAAACCAACACAGAGTAAACAGTAAAATAAATGCAATTACGTTCCTGTATAATCTAAGAAGGAGATTTTGTGCTTCATAAGAATTTTATTTAAAACAATGTCAGAAGTGCAATTTATGTATAAGAAATATGTGATTTAAAACTGTGAATTTCTCAGAATTTAGAAAGGTTGCTTTACTAAAATTTAAAAGAATATATATATTGTTAGTTACATAATACAGAACATATAATCAGCATACACACATTTTTGTTAAAATATGTACATTTGCATCAAATAGGCATTTAACTTTAAATGAGAGAATTAGAACACACGTGAACGTGCAATGAAAACCGGAACCTAAGTTTTGTCACGAACCCCAATTCGCATTTGGCCAATATTCCATGGGTATGTTGAGAGAACTGTAGCCCATGTAGGCTCCTAGCATACCTAGACGATGGGAACCCCTGTAACGCCAAAAATTGTAAGCTCTTGCTGCAACAAAATGACAAAACCTTTGGAAATATTGTTGTCGAAAACTGGAGGAAAACATAAAAACGGGCTATATATGTATAATTGATGTATCTACTTATTAGTAATATTAATCTTAAGGTGGTTATACCCATGCTCTGTATCATCTCAAAATGAGCATGTTAATCACCTAAATTAGAATAATATTAAATAGACGATACAACATGTTTAATGAACAATATAATAACATACACCGACATATATAATGTCAAACATTTGCATGAAATGGAAATCTTTTATGGAAAATAATTAGAAAAAAAGATCTTCATTTTTATACATGTCATGTTATTTACTCGCCTCGTCTGTCCTGAAGTTCTGCTTCATTTTCATCGAGTGGTGGATTCTCTTCATCGATCCTCTTCTGTAAATCTTCAATAACCACTTCAAATGGAATATTTTCCTTGTTTAGTGCACGAGTAACGTTCTGTATAGAGTCGGATTTTATAAATACGTCGATTGCTGTTCCATTGGTTCCCCAAGTTGCAATTTCTAAAAAGGCAATACATTTAAATGAGATCATTAATATAATTTGCGCCTGTTATCCCAGATAGGGTAGCCAGAGGCATTGTCACGCTACACTGGACAGCCCTATATTCGGTAGATATATTTTTGGACTCTTGTGTTAATTTTCGTCGTTGTTGAGTTTCCATCACCAGAGAATTAGCTATTAAATTAATTTTCACTGAAATTCGAATTCATTACTTTCGCTATAAGTCGGAGTAGTAGACAACTAGGCCATGACGCTATTCTACAATATTTATTTACGTATTACTTATAAATGTCTAATTTTCATACGTACGATTTCTCCTGCGTAATCTAACAAGAATATTTCGACTTCCTTCTTTTTCTATTGAGACTTTCCAAAGTTGAGCACCGGAGTAATCCACTTTAGGTGACGCTGTTTCAGACTTAATAACTACAGTTTTAGTTTTAATGGTGTCAACTTCATTATCAGTGTTATCTAAATCTTGTTTTTCCTTTACTGGTTCACTGGAATCTTCAATAGTTTTCACTGGTATCTCATCAAGAATTGCTTCTTCTTCGCTTTTTTCTTCGAAAATGGTTTCTGGTTCTGTTTCTGTATCTTTATCATCAGACGGCTGTAGAACCGCGCCGCGTTTTGGCCATTCTGAAATTTATTTAATCAGTGGGTAAGACTATACTTTGTGTTGTTAAGGACAATTAAAACTAATTACTTACGCTATTGTAAACTTTTCAATACTATGAAATAAGAATACTTTATATTCATACTATATTTTTTATTTAATTTTATACGACACTAAGTTCTTTGCTATGTATTTTGTTTTTCGAAACATTAAATTCTTCATATTTTGTACTATTTGATTTTAATATTGCACTATATTAACTATTTTTTATAATAAGTATATTTTCTATGGAATTCGAAATTTTATGCTATGGATTCTGTTACCTGCAATTAATGTTATAGCCACATAATATTCATACATAATCATAAAAATATTACTATATTATTCCTGCATAATATCAATTGTTAACTTGATTTATAATTCACGGATTTGAATGTATTTATGAGTGCAAATCGTGATCATTTGTGTTATTATCGTGTTTATAATCAGCATTATTCTCAATTATATGGTCGTAGTAAAATTACCGGTGATCATGTCCCTTAGGTAGGCAATGTTAATTAATTCATAATGAGATGATTTCATTTACCTACACAATGCGTAAAATTGTTTTGTATTTACCTATATAGATGATAGCTTTACCATAAGGATAAGTATTAATAAACACACCCTTATTTTAAGCAAAAAAAAAAATAATGCTTGACATTAATACCATACTTCATTTCATCTTTAAAATTAGAATTGTCCTTATCATCTTCAAATTCCGACTTCAAAGAAGACGTTTTAAGTTTTTCACTTTAGAGTATCCATAAATTACGTAACAGATTGGGCACCAGTAGGTGATTACAGCATGCACGTGAAACAGGTCAGGCAGTCGGGACGATGGACAATATTTTAATGTGGGGACCCCGTGGAGCTCACAGTTCGCAGCCTAGTCTCTTATGACACAACCTAGAATAGACTCTATACTACCTACCTAGACTACCTACCTAACCTAGAATAGATTTTATTAAAACAATTGCGTATAGTGATTATTGCGACAACAACAATAAGCAAGAACAGTTATTTTACTTGCCTGACCTTTTGACAGTAGAAACAATCATTAAAATGCGCGACTCGTGGCCCATGTGACATGTCTAATGACTTTCTCTGTCCGTCTTGATTTCCATTCGCCGCTGGCCTGATCTTACGTCTAACGGTTTTAGTAAAAACTTGATTCTACTCGAAGGAAGGGTTTCCTCTAATATGTTTTATTTAGATCACGTTCTCGTGAAGGTGAAGCTACGTTCAGAATCCTGATGCATTCAGTATTCATATCTAAAGTTTTAGTTCCGCTTTTTTTATTTGCTCGCTTTGTTGGCAAACAAGACTTTTTCAAAGTAGATATTAAATTAGTACTATTGTTTTTTAATTTCATTGTGCATATTTATTAGTTTTGTTTTTGTTATTTTTCTTTACCAAAAATGTTTACTTATTCTTTTCTCAGTTTTTCCGTGACTGCGTTTTACTAAAGAGCGTATAATCTTACTTAGTGTTACATTGTTTATTACTATTTGTACGTGTTTAAATATTGAATTTCATAAATTTTAATAAGGAGAAAATTTATTTATTTTCGCAAGTCTGAGAAGTCAACCGTATTAATTATTATTTATTGTATTGTACATTTTACAATTAGGAAGAAACTGCATTTGCCAAATATAAATAAAAATATTAATTGTGATTTAATTCAGTTTATGGTGTAAATTAAAATGACATTTTTGTTGTTAACGATTCATATAAAAATTAAATATGTAACAAAATTTTACGAAAGAAATGACAATAAACATCAAATAAAAAAAGTAGATAATAATAAACTTTTTTGATTGAATTACACAGCAATTTATAAAACACTTAATATATAATATATGTAGTGAATAATTTGATTTCCTAATTTCCTTTTCTCTAAAATTGAACGACATTGTTTTTACAACCTCGACTTTAATAATATTATCTATTTATATTTACTTTAATAATAATATCAAAGTTCCGTCGATTGTATTTTTATTGAATATAATATATTTTTCAAAAATGAAAACACCAACTGGACCCATTACTTATGATTACATGAAATAGGCAAAATCCGAAAGTTACGGCATACATCGCGTAAAAAGAAATAAAGTTGAATTAAAAACCGCATTTTTAATTCCGTTGAAGTTATAATAAAGAGTTACCTTGCCCGGGCTGCTTTTCATTGACGAGTGGTGTAGTATATACCACAGTGACTCCAACCAGTAATAGAACGAGTGCTGTCGACCACGATCCCATGGCTACTAAACTGAGCCCACTAACAGGCGAGGCAACAAGTGCAAATGCCCACTGATGCTCCTGCGCATCGTTGGAGCCTTTTTAAACTCCTAAACTACCTGTTGTCGCTGCCATCATAAACACATTGCACATTATACATTGTCCGTGAATCCATGAACACTTATACGGGTAATATACAAACATACCAGATTTCTATAAAGTCAATTAATTGAGATCAAGAACGTGATATATACATGTAACATACCTTCATCTGATTTCTATATTAAGGTATATTGGATTATTACAAAGTTTAGTGTAGTATTTGCGAATATACTAAAATGAAATCTATAATTTTATTCGCGGTGTATATAGGTACATTGGTGCGGTATACTCTGAATAGATATACTATATTGATCCTTATATGTATCTTCAAACCTTATAATAAGTACACCATATTGATTACCATAATAAATACTTTCATAATTACTGTAGTTATCAAATTCAAATTTTTTTCAAATTCAAATTCAAATTCAAAAATCATTTATTCATGTAGGACATTTTAGCCGCTTATGAACGTCAAATTTTTACATTATAATTTTATTTTTTTCCCTACCGTCCAGTTCGGTATATAGATCCAATTGAGAAGAACTGGCAAGAAACTCAATTGAATTACTTTTTTTTTAAAGCCAGTTTATTTACAATGTATATTTATATAGGTGTCTATGTCTAACATTAAATGAAAATTCAGTGCATGAACAACTATTGCCATGCACACTCGTCATTCAAGTAATCGTTTAGTGAGTAATAGGCTTTGCTCAGTAAATATGATTTAACAGATGTTTTGAATTTATTTAAGGGTAATTCCAACATATCCTTTGGTATCTTATTGTAAATTTTTATACCTATTCCCATAAAAGACCTATTAACTTTTTCTAAACGATACTTGGGGACAGCAAGTTTGTCTTTAAATCTTGTATTAATATTATGAATATTGCTGTTTTTTGGAAATAAGTCAAGATTTTTATGAACATATAGGATATTTGAATATATAAATTGAGAAGCAACGGTGAGAATATTTGCCTCTTTGAATTTCTCTCTTAATGAGTCACGACTCTTCATACAGTAGATCGCTCGAACGGCACGTTTTTGTAATATGAATATATTTTTAATATCTGCCGCTTTTCCCCATAGTAATATTCCATAAGAGAGTAAACTATGAAAATAACTAAAATAGACTAATCTAGCAGTATCAGTATCAGTGTACTGTCTAACCTTACGCACGGCAAAAGCTGCTGAACTTAGTTTCGCTGCAAGGCTTTGAATTTGTGCACCCCATTGTGTTTTATTATCTAGTGTGATTCCTAGAAAGACAGTAGATTCTATAAATTCGAGAGATTCGTCATTTAATTTAATATTGCAATTAGTATTAAAACTTTTAGACAGAGAGAAATTAACACATTTTGATTTTTTAGCGTTTAACATAAGATTGTTAGTTGTAAACCAGTGCAGGAGACGCCGCAAAGCACTATTTACATCGTCATAATTATTAGTCATTCTATTAACTTTAAAAATCAATGAAGTATCGTCTCCAAATAATACTATGCCGCATCTATCCTGCATGGCATATGGGAGATCATTAATGTAAACTAGGAACTATCAAAATGTATTTAAAAAAAAATATGTTCAGAAACCTCAAGAGCGTAGATTTTTGAACATGTTGTGTTGTTGTGTTAATTATTTTTTAAACTAGAATGGTTGATTCTATAAATTGTTAAAATTTGTATTACAAAATACTTTGTAAAAAAATGATTATTGTTTTCATGTTTGTCGCAAGATTTTATTAGTTTCTGATTTGTTTTTCAATTAATTGTATTATAAAATTTTGGGTTCTTTAGAACTATCTAATAACTATGGAGAAACAAGGGATAAACTCCTACGAAATGAAATTAAAGTTGGTAGATATTTTTTACCTGCGTGGATAATTTTATATTTAGAAGTTTTCATATATGTAGATAGGTGACATTATATTAGCTTTGGAACCAGAATGGCAACCTTCCAGTTCGGGTACCTGAGCGCCATGTTAGGTCATTGCCTTCTACTTGCAGTTATTTTATTGTAGGTACGCCGATGACAAACTCTGTTTACCGTAAACAAGTTTTTAATGGATTATTTATCTCAATGGCTTTAAAATAGTTTAGCACGTCATTTAAGTTCTGCCACTTTTGTCAAGATTGTAAAGTCGTGTATTATCTCATTGAGTAGACTTACTAAATATACCTAATAGGTGCTGTGTTCAAGCCATGATTAAACCGACTTCAATTTTATTATTAAATATAATTAAAAAACTACCGTTCAGATATCTCGAACACCGATTTTGAATACAGATTCAGATCTGGTACTACTGTGTAGTCCCATATAATTGTGGGACTACACCGTAGTACCAGATCTGAAATAAAAAATCTGTATTCAAAATCGGTTCATGCATAGAGAGATTCTGATAACACAAAATACAGTTAAATTAAGAACTCGTCCTTTTTATGAACTCGGTTTAAAATTATAATTAACAGGAAGTGTAATTCTAGGCCAGTTCTGCTCAGCAAAACAGCAAAGAAAATAATGAAATCCGCCGCAAACCAAAGTTGAGGCCTTTCTCTGCTGGTGTTATCGATTCTAAGAAACGAGAGACTACGAAAGTGGCACGTTTCTCAACTAATTCAAATTCACCGAAAAGGACCGTCAATTGTAAACATGAAAATTTATTAGAAGAATTGAAGGACACGAACGAAAGGGTAAAAGCCGTTGAACTCCTTAATGTTCAATTGACAGAAGATAATAAACTGTTGAGAAAAAAACTCGACCATATCGATGAACAAAAACATATGGCTGATTTGAAATTGTCTGAATGTGAGAAGTTCGTGAGTAGATTGGGTAAAGAGTATGAAAACAGAAACTCTGAATTAAAGGCTGTTCAAGAACATGAAGGTAGAATCATGGCAGAGTTGAATAAGGAAAGGAACGAAAGGAAAAATTTAACCATACAGCATGATAAAGATGTTACTATCATTCAAGATTTGCAAAGACAAGTTAAAGAAATGGAGATGATATTAAAAAGAAAACATCCAGATTCAGTTTCAGCTTTAATAGGTATTTGTTGCACTTATATAAACTTAAATATCCTTTATTTTACTTTTTAATTATAATTTTAATGTAAATTTTATAATTATATGTTTTAATTTAGTTGCGTCAAAAGCATCAACAGTTGAAGACAATAAAAAAAAGTTACTCGAAGAGCGTATTGTACGTTTAGAACAAGAATTGAAAGATAAGGAAAGCCACTTTCAAGGAATACTTCTAACTTTACAAGAAAAGTTTGGAGATATGAAACAAAAATACGAGAACCATATTATAGATGTCGAGAGGCAGCTGATGGAGGATCGTAAAGTTAACACCGAATTAAAAAATAAAATTAACAAAACAAACTTAGCGAATTCTGCTGTTCAAACTGTACCTAAAAATGTACATAATGTAGCGTGTCAAACATTTATAAAACCAGATAGAGCTTCTTCTGCCGTAAGCAGATTATCACAGAATTCTGCACTTATTCTAAATAAACTGAAAGAAGATAGCTATTTAGTAGCGACAATAAAAGGTTTACAGGGCGAATTAACTATAAAACAACGTACTATTGCAAAAATTAATAGAGAGACTGAAGAACTTCGAAAGAATTTACGGAATTTGCAAAAAGAGAAAGAAGGTACGTTATAATTTTTTACTTACATAGGTCTTATATTTTTTATATATATATATATATATATACCGTATTTCATGTTCCGCTATCACTCGACTGGAATGTTAATGTATAGTTTATACATATTGTACTTTTTAAATATATGTAGAAAACACGTTGCAAATTAGTTTGTGATATACATATGTACAGTAAGTACATACGTGTACAAGTCAATGTAATGTAGGCAACCAGCATACAAATTCTGTTTTACTTTCAGTGTTATTAAATCTAAATCCTCAAAAGAAGCCTGGATGTAGGCCCACTAAATCATCTGAAAACATATTAGTAAAGGTTAATTCGGAAATGGAAGCGGAGCTTACGGAAACTAGAAAACAAAAGGAAGTCCTTACACAAGAACGATGCAGCTTACTGGACTCTTTAAAAAGAACAAATGAAGATTTTATAATGCTCAAAAAGAAACGAATCCAAGATGTAAGTGTCGTTATTACTTAAGTATATATTTTTTGTAGACGTTCTATGGGTATGCCAATATATTATGTGATATCCATATCCGTAATGCTGCTGCTCATGTATGATTTTCTTATGTAATTGGATTCGCAAATAAGCTGATGGTCCACCTATTTATAAACAGTAGCTGTTGTTTGAATAAATGAACAGCACCAGGGTCATCAAGTGACGCCGGTGATACAACATATGTACCTCTACACCTCAGCAGAAGCTTGCTTGTTACCTTTTGGTTATTGTGCAAACTGTTTGGCTGAAATCGGGAGATTGTGGTGAACAAAGTCTACTTTTTAAAAAGGCAACCTCGATTATCATCAACACTATTCTCTGTTTTACGAAGAAAATACAAGATATTATAATTAGGGTGTATACTGAATTATGTCAATTTTATTATTTGTTACATAAACAGTTCCCTATTTATTTGTATATTGATATCTGATAAGAATTCTTTTATACTTCAGTTACATACACTTCAATTGGCACATGAGAAAGAATTGATGCAGATGAACATGCAACTTTATCCACTACAAGAGGAGATAAAACTCCTAAATAGGACTGTGGAAATTCTCCAAGAGCGAGTGAGGGCGGCTGATGACAAACTCCTCAGATATCAGGCCGGCATCAAAGAAATGGATATGCATGCGGGAGGTGATAACCATGGTAATAGGAATTCTAAGAAAGATATACGTTAATTTCTTTTTCAGAGATGCCGAATTGTTTTTTGAATTAGGTATGAAGCCATAATGAAATATTCAAGTCTGCAGATTTTGAGGAAAATCACTGAAACCTTTTATATGTTGGTGTAGTTTGTAATTCTGATCGTATCTGTATTATCCATGTGGATTTAAAAAAAGAGTAACATTACTTCGTTGTTGGAAACAAAAAATCAAGAATACTTATATCATTTTTTTTTAATATGCAAATGATTGTGCTCTTAATTTAGACGATTGCAATGATTTCCTTATAGCTGCATATATTATACTTATTCTTGTGATAGAGTATACTTAGTACTACATGATGGGCAGTTAATTCTGTCAAAATCGATTCTAAGTGTCAGATTTATCGTACGTTTTGTATCTAAATTATTTTGTAATGTTCACAGAATTAATTCTGCAACTATATTTAAAGATATATTCATACAAAAATTGTGTTGATAGATCTCACTACATATTATGAATATCTTTAGACTTGGTATGAAAGGCACCGTTATTGATATTTCAAGAGATTATAATTTGCAATTTTTTTTCTGCGTAAGTATGGAAAAGTATTTTTTTCCGTACGAGTATAGACATCCAGTTTCTATTTACAATAGGGAATATTCGGCAAAATGGCGTAATTATATTCAATGTGAGTACTAACTAATAATCTACCACTTGTTGACACTCATGTGATTTAAAATATGGTATAAGAAACCTCCTAGTTCAGATATTCATAAAAAAACGCGACGATCATGTTTTAATTAAATACGTGCTATCAATCGTTCTAATCACGTCAGTCAAAATTATTTTATAATTTTTCATACTTCGTAGTAGTCTAATATCAACCTCTTATGGGAGGGAAAACGTCAATTAAAATCCCATTTCTGGGTGCCTCCAAAGAAAGAGCTTTTTTTAAAATAAATAACAAGGGTGCACAAGCATCCACTAATAATACACTCTGGTGGGGCGCAGTGGAAGATAAGATAAGTCAGGTCATTTAGACCATCGTGGCCAAGTTACTAGAAATTAACCATATGATTTCCAGGGGTGATCGGGGCGTTATAACGACATACATAAGAATAAGAATAACATTTCGTATAACTTAGTAACATTTTATCGATGTTTTCACACTAGGCAATGCCTGTATCGTGGAAGTTAAAGCAAGTTTACAGTCAAAGTAACATTGGTACGGCGATCAGAGATGCTAGCAACGGGGCTACTAGTTTTCATTAGTAACAATTCTCTGACTTCTACGTCAATGAGTTGTTACAGTAGTATTAAACGTCATTTAACACCAATGAAAAATGTAATTTATTGTATAATAGCAGGGAATTACGTTTCACTAGTATTTTCTTCAATTATTGAAATTAATGTATATTCGTTTATCTAACTAAAACCGAGAATGAAAATCTTTTCATTATCGGTTTTAGTTGTACAATGTGATTAGTTATACAGTCTCTCAAATACTAGCAATCATTCTATATTCATAATACCTTATACCATATAGACATTTATATTTTTATATAGTCTATATCACACTTTTAAACTATTTTAAAAGCTATTTATTCTTGTATTGTTAAATCTCAGATGCGCAACTATAGGGTTGCAGAAAGGAATATTCCACGGGCCACCAGCTGGTGGCTCCGGGCCTCTGGTTGGAGTAGTTGTAAACACAGAAAGAATCAAACATTTAATTAATTTACTGTTGAAACAGTTGAAGACTCTATCGTGTCAAGTGTTTTTATATAAAAAGAAAGCCCATCTGATGATTTTACCAGGGGTATTAAATGGTATAGTTATTGCTAAACCGTTTGCTAGATTCCGACATATATAGAAATGCATTTTATCAACATTCGATGTCGAGACTACTTATGTGCCTAATAATGAAATTGTATATAATATCGACGTATAAGGACCTTGATTCTGTGTGTAATGTTTTTTGTTTGGCTGCAATATAGAAGTGGGAAATACTCGTAAAATCAGGTTATTATGACAATAAGCTGGTATAACAATTAAGTTGGACGGTAGTCATAGAAACTCTAGAAGCCATAGCCATGCACACATTCAGGGAACTGAACTATATTAAAAAAAAAATAGCAAGGTGAAATAAAATAATAATTCTTCAAACCTTCATATAAACTACAGGGTCACGTGATCACTTTAATATGATTTTTTATTAATGAAGATTTTCACTTTATTATTGATAAAAGTGGTTCAGTTAAATGAGTATTTTACATGGTATTGGGCTTGTTATACCTTTACTTCTAACGCAGTACGATAAAACTATACCTCCTTATGAACTTGCCTGGGAAATGTTAAATGATAATACGCTAGGGTAATGATCATGCAGTTCGGTGCGTATTTAAAACGTTTCTAAATACAATTGTTAAACTATAATACTTAAGTATAAGGATGGGAAAGGGACCAGTAGTATGTAATGTAATTTCGTGTTCTTATGAGTGCCTAGTTATAACCGATATATAATGCAAAGTAAATAAATATAAGGCACAAAATAAACGGTAAAAAATTGTACGAAATTGTAATTGTAAAAAACTTTAAGTAAATACAGTCTGTGGTAGATATAGTAAAATATATATTATATTTATGATATATTAGATAAATTATTATGTACTTATAAGTAATTGCTATTTATTCATAAACGAGAAATATTTAATTACATCAAATTAATTATAGATTAGGTCTAATTCTTTTAATAAATGTTTAATTACATATGGCACAAGAATCCAGTCTGTTTTCACGAAAACATTATTGTGGGTATAATTAATAAATAGAATTAATACTTGTGGCGATGTGACGCCGTTGGCAGCACTGTAACACTCATTTTCTCTTTTCGTAAGATTGCAGATTCGATTCCCGCATAATATAAACTGTAAAACTATTTGTATTCAAGAGTATAACTCTGTATTCGCCTGGTAATTGTCTATTTTTTTGCAATGGAATCCCGTCTGCACTAATGGGATACATCGGGCACCAGTGGAAAACGACAGGAATGAGAATAAAACCTGATTGTTAATTCAGCATGACGAATTCACGAGGAATTAATAATGATTGATAGTTCCTGTGGAAGTAATAAGAGAAATGCATTTAAACTTGTATTATTATTTTTTAGTGCCCATAGTGTAATTTAGATTGTTAGAAGGCGCTGAATTGTGTATTCATTGTAGTCGTACTCGTCTTACTCATAAGAGTATTTTTTAATGTCGTCCATAAATAAGGGGCGAGGGATAAGAGGATAATTCACACAAGTTTCTAATAATATATCACCAATTACTTTTATCTTTGTTCAATCACATGCAGTAAAGTAGGTATTAACACGATAATTACGTCACCTTTTTTTATTATATTGTTATTTCGGTGAAATTGAATGAAATCTCCGTAACCTGTAATTTCACTGATATATTTCACGTTTCAACTGAAACTAAAACACACTTTACACACAAACTGTTGGGCGGCTAAAATAGGAGAGACAGAGGTATTCTACGCTTATATTTTTATACAAGATATGCCCTTGTAAAACGAATGTTGAATGTCCTAAATATATATATATTAGCAACTTGTGAGAAGCTACACTTACTCATAGTGCCGAAAATATAATACTGTATTATTTTATATATGGACTGATTGCATATTTCTGTACTCCGAATGATTCCTAAAATTCTATAATATACAATGATGTTTCTAGTCAATGTTAATATTTTCATCGGTTGAAATTCGCTTGTAACAATATAACTAAAGTACCTACTGAGGTGCCTTAATGATAGCAACTGTCGTGTATAAAAATGTTATTTTAATTATAATGTTGTTTTATTATAACTAATAATTTCCTAAATCATTTTGAATTTCAATCAACTATGGCTAGAAATTCTGATATATCAGAATTATATCAGAATTTCTAGCCAAGTAGCGTAATCATTAGTTTTATGGTTTGGTATGGAGTTTTGTATAAATAAACTGGTTAATGCTATACTCCTCTTATGGTATAGTATTGTTATAGTTTATTGCTAGGTAGCAATAAACTAGAATGCACCTTCTGGGCTCTGGTAGGTAGGTACCTACCAGAGCCCAGAAGGTACGTTCTAGCTATGTAAATATAGGATCTTTAAATGAATATACAATTTTAGGCTCTAATATTTGACGAATAATTTCAACGATTGTAAATATATTTACTTAAAATTTTTGTTGTATACAAACCATCATGAAATTTACCGTAGGTATATGCTAACTAAAAGTATACCTACTCTTATCCCAGTCATCCGGATGAAAGTACCACCAGATGCTTATTAACCTGGTCTTAGTATTCAGTATGAAATAAACGTTTATCAATTTCCTTAGTATGTATATTTAGAATCGGTCCTTTTCTACAAAGTACTTAAAACTTTCTCTGCTAAATATAGAGTTGTCGCACTGGTTTATAATCTAGGTTTATATCTATCGAGATCTTGTTTTAGTTTTCACTGATAGTGTAATAGACATACTTTTCTCTTGTATTAAATGGCCAACCTTGATTTACGTCATACGTTAAGGTAAGGATCATTGTGTGACGAGCTGTGTGTTAGGAGACATTCTAAATTTCGTGACATTACATTTAAAAACGTAGTATGTAATAATTAAAACATATATTTGAAGTATTAACGAATATACAATAGGTTTTTTTATAAGTGGCAAATAAGCATACGGCCCATCTGATAGTAAACGGTTACCGTAGCTTATGGACGCCTGAAACAGGGTTGTTACGTGCGCTTTGCCGACCTTTAATACAATCATATTCAATACAGATCATATTTCAAATTATGTTACGGAACATTAATGAGTCTCATAAATGGGAGAGGGAAGGGGAGGGCAAAACATTTAGATAATATTATGTTTAATTATGGTCACAGAGAGGACAAGGTATTCAGTAATAATAAGACATCGGTAGGTAATATTATCTTATCTGTTATATAGGTGAATCATTAACCCGTGCGACTTAGTCTGTTCTCAAAATAAATTAATTTCCTCCGCATTTGCAAAAAGCCTAGTAGCTATCCCGTATCCTTCCTTGATAAATGCAACACTAAAATAATTTTTCTATTTCAAGTTCCTGAGATGACCGCGATCAACCAAACACAGACTCTTCAGCTTTATTAGCATAGATAATATTGTGATTTGTAGATCATATGGTGCGATTGACAGTAATCCATAAAAATTTATACCTACAGGAAGATTTATTTTTGTTAGGGAACAAGTTCAAAACCACTTCTCTTGGCACTCTACTCAAACACTGCGCATGAATTATCTCAGCCAATTGCATCACAGCGTTCAATATCTATCTTCTTGTTTCTTCTATATATGATGGTGGTAGCAGAAATCCTTGGGTGCCAGTGTCTCGCGCTTCCATGGCATATGAATGTTTAATGCAGTTCGCGTATGTCCATCTAGACCGGACCCTGCCGCTGGGTAGACCAGATGGTAAGTGGG